CCCCCCAATTGAAACAGATACTTTAGGAAGAAGTACAACCTCTACTTGGTATTTTTGCCTGAACTCCTGTTCCTGTTGTGTCTGTTTGGCTACCTGGTGTTCATGATATTCTACAAATGGCTGGTCTTCACCGCAAAGGACTCCAGACAGGCCCCCAGTATTCTCATCCACTTCATTAACATGTTCCTCATGCAAGGGGATGCAGTACAGCTCCTCTACCCAGGACAGGTCAGAATCTTCTTGATGCATTTTTCCTAAAGCTTCTCTTGTCCAGTGGAATAAGTTACACTGATGATAAAGCATCAAGAATGAGTGAGAGTTGTTTGTCTTCTTCCAGACTGGCCTGCAGATATTCCTGGTGGTCATTGCTGTTCTTTCAGTGCCTGTTTTACTGCTGGGGAAACCAGTCTACCTCCGCTGGCTTCAGAACGGAGGCCAAAACCGCCTCGGATTGTACAGGGTGAGCACTGCAGACATGTTAGCTCATCAATATGTGCCTTAATCCTTAATCTGTACTTAAACTTGGATTTAAGCATAGAAAAAACATAGCTGCAGCCTTACTTCAGTTGGTGAAAGTTAAGCTAGTTAAAACTAGCAGAGGTCTTCTATTACAATTATACTTTAATAGAAAGTTTCAGCTGCCTTACACCATTTCTTAGGATCTCTCTTAACTTGTTACATGCATCATATTTATATTGGATTAGAACTGTTATACAGCTGTGGCTTTTATGTGATTTTAAATCTACAAATGAACAAAATTTGTTTCTGTATCATCAGGGATATGAGCGTGTGCGACGAAATAGTGATGAAGAACTCTACCTTCTGAGGTCTGAAGACATGGAGGAGGGCAGCAGTCACAGCGATCTCTCCAGTAGTGGAGAGCAGCTCTCTGAGGAGGTGAAACTTGATATTTAGCAATGCTTAAAAGTCCTTATTTTCCAATTTGTTTTAAAATTGAGCTCTCTTTTTGTTGTTGTTGTTGCAGTTTAACTTTTCAGATGAGTTTCTCCATCAGGCCATACACACCATAGAGTATTGTCTGGGTTGCGTCTCCAACACAGCTTCCTATCTGAGACTCTGGGCTCTCAGCCTGGCACATGCCCGTAAGTACAGTTCAATGTGGGATGGAAACTTATCATTGAACATGCCATCCCTACGATGAAACATGGTGGTGGGAGCATCATGCTCGGGGCTTTTTGAGCAAGTGCATGGAAGCTGGGCAGATCTGACAGTAATATGGTTATGAAAAAACTGCACAATTTTTGTATCTTTGTGCAAAACATACCAGTGTCAGTGAAACAGGGTTTTTACAACAGTATGGAAACCTGTGCAAAGAGGTTTGATGGGGAGGGGTGAGAAGTGTTGCATCAAATGATTTTATGTAAAGCTCACTCAGGGCCATGTACAGGTTTGTTGAAGTAGTAAATCTCAGTTTGCTAAAGAATGAAGTTGCGCTGTTTATTATCAAAAACTGTAGCAGTGAAATGAGCACAGAGGAGCTCAGATCAATGCCCTCTTCCTTAATATCTTTTTCATTTCCTCAGAATAACAGTACACTAATTTAATTTTATTCCTCCTCACTTTTTTCTCTGTCAGAGCTGTCAGAGGTGCTGTGGGCCATGGTGATGAGAGTAGGACTTCGAATGAACTCTGCTCTGGGGATTGTATTCCTGGTTCCTGTGTTTGGTCTGTTTGCTGTTCTCACTGTGTCTATCCTTCTCGTCATGGAGGGCCTTTCTGCGTTCCTGCATGCCCTTCGCCTGCACTGGTATGCACTTTAGTGACGCTAAGGGTCACAGTTCTTTGAATTATCTCAGTGTTTTTATATCTCTGACAGCTGCTTGCTTCCTCTGTAGGGTTGAATTTCAGAATAAATTCTACAGCGGGACTGGAGTCAAGTTCTCCCCTTTTTCCTTTTCTCTGCTGCCTACCAGCTTTGAACATGACGGATTACTGTGAAGGGACTCACAATACCAAGTCATTCTATGGCAAGAAGCCAGCACCTCAAAAAGACTCCACCAAGAGATGTCAAAAAGTGCTCTTCATATTTATTTTTTCTTCTTTTTTTCCTGTTTTTACAATTTATATGAAGAAATGATCACACTGGCCTCTCAGCTGTATTTTGAAAAAACAACACACTGGTGAACAAAGTGTGGATTAACTGAGTTTTATGCAAGAGAGTGTTTTGCTCTGTGATTAATGTCAAGGAGTCAGTTGCTAAATTTGATGTGATTAAATGAAGAAATGCTGCATAAAACTGCAAAATATAAATCTATTTTTGGTTTGAAACAAAAACTCTACAATGTGATAAACCAGTGTTTTGCAGCTACTTTTTGGGAGCTTATTAATAAGAACTAAATAACATTTAGCTTTATCACTTACACATAATTTGTGTCTGTTTTTTCCTCCCCAGATTTAAAATTTTTGCTGTGTATCATTATTTTTAGCAAATTTTTCTAAATTCTGTTGCGTTCTCTAAGCCCCTGCTAATCTGATGTAGTTTTAATCCATTAAATTAGAAGATCCAATTTATTCAATCGGTTAAATGGGTCGACCTTAGCTTCTGGGTGAATTGTGTGGCTTTTTTCCAGAAGTCAATAACGGAATAACATGCAGCTGTATGTATGTCAAAACGACAGCAAAATTTGACAAACATTTTTGTATACCTCTGCTTGTCAGACTACTGTGAGCTTGGAGTGTCACGAATATATTCACTAATGCTGAAACTGCCAGCAGGGTTCACATCAGAACAGACTACCACTATGCACCCAACCCAGACAAATCTTCAAACAACAATCGCCACCATCAAGTTCATGAGGCCTTCTGGCAGCTTTTCTTTTTTTTTTTACATTGGAAATCAATTTGTCTTGATGATGGGACGTGCTGTTTTACTCTCATTGAAGGCACACGGTTTGTCATTATTCAGTCTCCGACATAGCACTCACTTTACAAGACAGATCCATTTTATTCATTAATATGGATAATTCTATTCCAATCTGATCCTTGTTATCCTAAAACATCTCATTCGGTTGTATCATACCAATTGGTAAGAATGATTTTAGTAATTTTATTTGTGTGGCATTTTAGATATGAAATAAAATCCACCCTAATGAAAGACCCTCTCATGAGACCAGTGTGCTTTGACAAGTTGAGGTGGGCAGAACAGAGGGGCTTTTGTTTCTCTACAAACTTTTGTGGCGATGCCACTGTCATTTTAGAAGATAGTGGCATCTCTGCCATTCAAAGGGGATAAATTTGATCTGTCTAATGGGGATTTCCAAACTGCGTTCATTTAAATTTTGCTGACAGCTTTTCACAGGCGTAACTACGTGTCACCTCAGTCATTAACTTATAAAACTGCAACACAGTGGGAGGGTTTAAAGGTTTCTGTGGGTGAGATGAAATATGTCTGTGCATTTGTAGATTTATATTTTGTCTGTAGAGAGAATCGAAGATGAGCGGGGTGAGCTTTTGTGTGTGCATTCTACTGTCTTTTTTTTTTTTTTTTTTACACCAGTCAGTACCAATGCCAGCCTAATTTTCCATTAATGAAAAAACTATTAATCTGTTGACTTCATCTTTGACATCCTACTGACATCCTTATTTGCTGAAGTTTGGTTTTTCTTTTACAACCTAACCAGCCGTTAATGTCGTCACTTCTGGATGAAGGAATGTTTCTGTTTTCTACTGTTGGTGTCATTTTCAGTTTGGTAACAACTACAGATTTTGTCCCCATTTTTTTTTTTACATTTTTTTTTCTTCCAGGGTGTCTTTTGTGGGCTCTAGAGTCCCTTATATGAAAGTAGGCTGATAGGAAAGGGGCAGACAAATATTGGGTCTGGGAATCGAACCCGCGACGGCTGCGTCGAGGTCTCAAGGCCTCCAAATGTGGGTGGCACTATCCCCTATGCCACCACAGCAAGCCCCTCGTCTAAGCTTTTTACCAAAAAACAAAACGGTGCACCAGACAAAACGATAGTTATTTGAATCTTACTTTATGTTTCACACCCAGTCACCAGAGATTCCATGCTTGTTTTCCTTTGTTCTGTACCTGTTTTTTTTTGTTTCTTTTGTGTTTTTTTTTTTTTACCCGACAAGCCGAATGTCAAAGCTCATGAAACCAGTAATTCACAAGTTATAAGGAAAACTTGCTTATATTTTACTTTGAAGCTTAGCTAAATTGTTTATGACATGAATATGGTCTTTTCACTCATACAGGGTTGATTTGACCATTTTTTTATGTTTGTTTCTAATAGATAAACACTCCATCTTGTATTTCTTTTGAGGAGCTTTTCTGTTAATAGACTTAATAAATTTCTATTTTGGGGATATTCTTGTATTTTCCTTAAATGTTTAAAAAAAGTTTTTCCAGTGTGCTTGTCCAGTTTTATTAATCCTATGTGAATCTCAGCCTTGCGTTCCTATTTTTTACCTGACAGAACCTCGCCTGCTGTGGTCTAGTTATCCGAAGCCAATCTGACAAGTCTCCTGTGACATTAATAGAAGAAACTCTATTTTGTGACCGTTCTCCTGTAAACTCAAGAAATGGTTCCAGATGAAAATCACAGTAGATCAACAGTTTCCTAATAAATTAGACCAGGTGCCAACAATACTTTAAAAGTGACTTCTTAGTCTTCCCAAAAGTGAGTTTTTAGTCTTCACTACTATGCTTACGAGTAGAGACTTTAGTTGACTTAATAACAGACCGCTTAATATTTAGGCCAAGTGTTAATGTGTGGGAAATAGAGAAATAAGTTTTCATATAAGTTGGTTTTTGAATACTTATTGGTCCTAAACAGTTGTGCGTATTTAGTTTAGAAGAAGTAAGCTTGTAGATTGAGCACATAGAAAACTGGGGATTTTAGTCCAGCCTTTCCTAGATCAGGCTACCTGAGACCTGTCAGTCTTGACTCTGGGAGTTGCTTAGCCCACCATCTCTTCAGGCGCCTGCGCCGTTGTCAAGGCAACGGATAGCCGTTAACCAAACTTCTGCGGTTGTATTTCAACCGTAAGATTTTCACTTGATAAACGTCGCTAAATGACGTTAAAAACAAAATGGGATACGAGGATTTGCGAGTGGATTGGATCCGGGAGAGGGTCTCGGCCGGATTCAATTTAAAAAACAATCCTGAATGTTTCGACGAACTGCTCAATCGAGGAGACGGCGAAGAAGAAGTGAAGATTCTTCACTTTCTGGACCACGTCTCCGACGAGGACTCGCCGTCATTTCTTCTATTTTATAAAACGATTAGAGAGGAAAAAGTCGAAGTTAAAATTCCTTCGAGTAAGTATTGTTTGATAAAAGCTTTTTTTCTTTTTCTTTTTTTTTCCTGTACCGAACTCCTCATTATTTAGTCAGATACATCTAGTATTCACAAATGTTTCAAATCTAATTTAATATAAGCTTATTAAAATCAGCTTGAATGCAGGAACGTTGGACTATTTTAGAACGGTTAAGATACTCAATTTTGAATTAGCATTTGTGCAGTTTCTCTAAGCACAACTGTCTGGACTTTTATGATGCAAATGTAGAAGAAGTTTTGTTCTAATTTCTTAAATGCAAAAAAACTAAGGATTCCCACTGTTTTGTTTTTTTGCCAGTAAATACATGAACCAATACCTTTGTTTAAGATAAATTGAATTCACACAGTTTAATTGTGTATTCTTTGATTAACTAAATTTTCTTTTTGATTCAGAACTTCTGATTAGAAAAAGTTATTTACATTATTTTGTTAGAGTCCCTAGAAAAAAAAATTATCCACACAATTCAGAATTAGCAGGAAAGACCTGACCTAAAAAAAAAATATAATATATATATATATATATTAGAAGAAATTGAGTTCTGAGCTTTTAAGGAAAACTCATGTACAAAGCAAGATTTAAAAAATAAAATGATTTAACTATCATCTTAGAAAAACAAGATGAAGATCCCTCTGAGAAACCGGATGAAGATACCTCAGAGAAAACAGATGAAGTCCCGTCAGAGAATAAAGATGAAGAGCCCTCAGATCCTGGCCACACAGTCGCTGGTGAAACACATGACCCATCGGACTTAGAGGAACCAAATGAGGAAACACACGTAAGAGCTTATTGTAAAGTCCTAATTTGTGTATTAGTGATCAGCAGTGTAATCTTTCACATAAATTTTGTGATGGCTGAATTCTTTTTTAAGCTTATATCTGATGTGATATTTTTAGGAAACTGAATTGAAAGTTGTATATCACACTGAGCTTCATGTAGCTGTAAATGAGCACTTAAAGCAATTTCTGAAAGCTCGGGTCTTCTACTTTCTCAGGAATACAAAGGGTAAGAGGACCATTTTGTGATAAAATATTCAAAATGGTTCAAGCATGAGGCATGAAAACATACTCTAACACTGTTTGTATTTTGAACAGATTCTATTCTAGAGCCACGTAGTATGTCAGAGGCCAACGTCCTAATGCCGAGGCTGTTTCACATTGGCATGCACAACGGAGACCCCATGCAAGTGCTGCAGAGAAAACTTGTACATGTAAGTTTAACAAAACATAAGGGTCAGTAGCTGGATTGATGCTTAGGATGGAAACTGCAGTATTTCCCTCTGTCGCTGATCGAACAATTGTAAATATGATTAGCCTATGAAAACGAGAATGTTCCATCGTTGAAAATACTTTGTATAATTTCAATATTTCTCTTCAGATGTACATACCCCTACTCACTGCACACCAGATGTCCAGTACTGCTTCAGGTGTTCCGCCTAAAGAGAAACCTCCTCAGGACAAGACTAGTAAAGATGGTGAAAAGAAAGAGAAAATTAAAAGTAAAGAAGAAGAGAGTTTGGTTAAGTCAAGTGGGAAATTGATACTTCGTGATGAACTGCTCAACAGAACACACAAGTTTTTGGGAGTGGTCAATTCAACTCTTCTGCGCCTTCAAATAGAAGGTTTGTTTTTATCACATCTTTTGATGGTAAAAGATGTAGAAATATTCAGCCATGTTAATTAGATTAATGCTCAAATCAATTAGTTTCACCATCAACATAACTGTAAAGAATACATTTTTTAATCTCCCTCTGAGGCATCTTTGTTCCAGATACAAGGAAAAAAACTTTTTTTTCCACGTTAACATTTATTCAGAGCCAATGCTAAAATTTACACTTGAATACAGATAATAAAGGAAGAATGTGATAGTGCTAGTCATGAACGGAAACCAAAGTTACTCTGCTATGGCTGATGCTGTGGAGCTTTCACTGAGCTGACGGGAAAAATTATGCGACATCTTCAGTGTCCCTCTAAGCCACATAACTGTCTCATGTCTGGGACTTGATATCGCTATTAGTATATAAACTTTAACGCCAAGCTTTCTGGATTTCTAAACGAGCAAAGAGGATATTAATTATATGACAGGTGTGAACATGTATAAGATCAGAGTAAACCTTTTGGAGCATGACTGTTAAAACCACATGATTCTCAAGCTATAAAACCTCACATTACCATCTGCTTGGAAAAAGTTGTTAGTTTTGAGAAGTTCTATTGTACGACCTGGAAGGGACCTAGAGCGTTTTTATAAAAATGTTTGAAAGATTACCGCTGAGGGCTTCGTTTTTACTACAAAGATTTAGTAAAATATTTGAACTTATTCAAGTAATCAAAACCAATCTTGTTTTGGTTATGTATGTAGTTTTCATTATATGTGGAAAAACAAAACACATTGACATTAAATATATTCATGAAATATGGAATGTATTCCCTAGACGAGGTTACACTCCAAATCCCTGAGATTGACCTGGATCAAAAGGTGGATGTGCTTCTTCATAATCCAGAGATGTTAGAGGCATTGGAGCGGTGTGTGATGAACTGGCAGACTCAAATTACCTTTGTAATTGAGGAACAGCTGAACAAAAAACCGCAGGTTGGAAATTATTACTTTTTCAGCTTTTTTCATTAGAACTCAAAACTGTCTGAGAAGTGTTGGGACAAGCCAAGCATTTGTATTTGAATGACTCACTTGCTTGATCCACTTGATGTGATCCACTGATCAATCTGAATGTTCGCTTTTAATCTTCCTACAGGGACCAGGACCTATGGCTGAGATAGATCTTTGGCAGGAGCGCTCTTCTGTCTTTAATGCTCTGACTGAGCAGCTTAAGCAGCCTGTGGCAGAGAAGATCTTTGAGGTGTTGAAGGCAGCAAAAGCAGGATGCCTTTACAACTTCAATGGAACGGTTGCTGAACTGACAAAATACCACATCGAGGCACATGATAATATACGCTTCCTAAGAACGCTCGAGAGACACTTCATGGTGAAATATAACTTTACATCATTCTCATTGAACATTTCTTACAGTTTGCAGTGAAGTCAATATTAGTTGTTATATGATCTCATTCACGTCTGTTAAACTCATGACTATCTTTTGCAGAATTTGGCTGCAGGAGCCAACTTTGCTTTGATCTTGGAGACCATCCCTGATCTGATGGAGAGCTTGCAGATTATGTGGATGATCTCTCTTCACTATAACTCCAATGAAAGAATGGTCCCTTTGATGGAGCGTATTGCCTGGCAGTTGTGTGAGCAAGTGGCTCAAGGAGTTGTTGTTACTTCAATATTCAAGTTTGTGTCCTCTCTTTCTAATCTGCTTAACCTAGGGGAAAACAAGAGTCTCTTTCTGTGAACTGATTTTGATTGTAAAATATGAATGTGAAAGTAATACTTCAGGTTGAATTGGATTCACTGGAAGGGATTTGAACTGTACAACTGAATAAGGTCAACTTTTTTTTGAAAGATGTCCAGAAAAGAATATACTTCTAATTTTTCTGAAGATAATTAAATTGGATTCAACTGAAATTTGTAGCTTTAAAACTGGTTAAATTGTTCTACATGTGATGCTATTATTTGTCAGTACTTTATCAGTGAAATTGGTTAGATTTTAACTTAAATATTATGTCTTGAACAGAGAAAACAGAGACGAAGCCAAGACCAAAGTGCATGAAGCAAGACAAGTTCTGGAACAATGGAAATCATCGTATTTTGAGATGCGAGCTCAAATTGAAAAACTACACCAAACTCCTCACTGGGAATTTGATCGCATAAGACTGTTTGAAAGATCTGATTACATGGCTTCTGTCTGCCAGGACCTGGGTCTGGTTTTTCAGGTCAGTGAACGTACAGTATGTATTTTCCTAATCTTGCATTAATAAAACCGAAGTTTACACAACAACTCTATGTATAACTATACTGATTTTAAAAAGCATTGTTCTGGATGGTTTAGGTTTTGGAGGAGTTCAACAACGTCTTTGGCCCAGAACTAAAAGGAGACAGACGTGTTCACGATTTACTGAAAGAAGTGGGCGACCTAGTGTTGCCCTTCCAGGATGTTACCTTCAATCCTTTCAGCATATCAAAGAAAGCCAACTGGAAAACGATTATTCAAGATTTTGAAAATACAATCGAGGTCAGTTAAGACAATTCTAAATAATTGTAACAATTTGCAATTCTATTTTATTTTGTGAAAATTTACATATTGTTTTCAGCTTCCATTTTGTCAAGCTGATTCTTTCTTTTTTTTTTATTATCTTCTTTAGATTATCGACAAAAAGGTCATCGACTTTGTTGATATGTCTTTTAACACCCTGCACTTCTCGGCCGCGGCCTTTGAGTTGCTGCAGAAATTCCAAAAAATCAGCACTAGAAAAGCCATCAGCAACCATTTGAAGAGAAAATTTGATGATATCCTGACCCAGTACTGCAGAGAGGTATTGTACTTTAAATGTAAAGAGTTGATTGCTTTGAATGCTATGTCGGAGAGTCATTTTCATCAAACCCTCAACTAGTCCAAACTGAATTAAATGTTGTTCAAACAGTTATGAAATGTAGTTTCATTCAATTATGTTAAGTAGTTGTACAAAAAGGGAAAATAGGAGCATGGCTCGTCCATTCAGTGTCGGTGTTTGATCACTTTTTTGTTTTTATTTTTAATAGACCCTCAGCAAGCACATTTTGCTCCTGTTCTAGGTGGATAGCATAAGTGAAATCTTTGAAGCGGAGAAGGACAATCCGCAACTGACAAGAAATGAGCCTCCTGTTGCCGGAGCTATAAGATGGGCTCGAGCTCTTGCCCGCCGTATCAAAAAAACCATTCTTCCCTTCCTGAAAGTTCCAGAAATGCTCAACAGTGAACAGACGTCATTGGTGAAGCATTTTACAGTATCATTTTCTTTTTAGATTAACTGTAAATGTTCAGGTAGCCAACAAGTACTGGAAGCTTTTGTGACCTCTACTGTTTTGCTCTCAGGCAAAGAGCAAGTATGAGAAATTGGCACTGGAGCTGAAAGCCTACGAGACGATTAAGTACGAGTCTTGGCTGGAAGAGACAGAGGGCAAATTATTATCACTAATGAAAAAAAAATTGTTGACTGCGAAAAAAACCGAAGAGGTGGTAAGGGATGTTACTTACGATGGAGTATTAGGGCCAGGCTATGAGGGTTTTCTTTTAATTACTAGAATAAAGTCCTTATATCAGAAGAATAAAGACACAAAATTACCAGAATATAGTTCAATTACGAGAAAAAAAGTTGTTTTGATGAGAAAAAAAGTTGTTTTATTGAGAAAAAACTTGGACAGCATGATCAAGACCTGGCCAATTCAGCCATGCAATTCTTTTTTTGAAAAAGATGCAGTCATTTACACAGTTGTTTCGATGTCCGGCTGCTGATAATAATTCAATGCTGATGTGTTAAAAGTGTCAAGAATTCTCTCATTTGTGAAACTGATACCTAAGCATTACTTTAAATGTTCAATATTCCTCATTTTAATCTTTTGTTATTTTTTTTATGAAAGAGTTTTCATAAAACTACTTCATTCTCCTAATATTCTGACTTTCTTTTGGTAATATTACAACTTTCGTCTCACAATGTTACAACTATATCATATTATGACAACTTTATTCTCATATTTTAGGTTTATTTTTGTATGACTTTATTCAAATAATAATATGACTTTATTTTCGTAACATGACTTTATTCAAATAATAATATGACTTTATTTTCGTAACATGACTTTATTCTCATAATTTTATGGCGTTATTTTGGTAAATCCACAGACAACCATGGAAGATGGCTATTTGTACTGAGCCAGAGTCTACTGGAGGTTTCTTCCATTTAAAGGAGAGATTTTCCTCTCCATTGTCGCTACACTCATGCTTGATATAAGGGATTGCCTTAACACAACGCAAGTGATTTTCTGTTGCTTATCTGAGTTTACTGCACTCTTTATCACTAGAATCAATTGGAATGCATGTGTAACAGAAATGAACAAATTTTTTGTGTCGTTCCTTAAAAAGAAAAAACAACACTTCACATTTGTTGTGAATTGACGCTATAGAAATAAACTGAATTGTTTCGACTTTATTCTAGTAATATGATCTCTTTTTTTCTTAGCCTGGCCTTGATACACCATCATAGTTTCTAAACTAATGCAAGTATTAATTTGTTTTATTTTAAAATGTAGTCCTAAAACAAATGCCTTCTTGTCATTTATAGGATTCAAATGCATCTGAAGCAAGCCAGAAAAAGAATGTGAAATACATTGTAAACTTTGCTCCAGAAATCAAGGAAATAATTTCTGAAACAAACTACCTTGTAGGTTTGGGCTTCTTTGTGCCTAAGCTGGCTGAAAATGTGGCTCTTCAAGAGAACAATCTCATCAGGTGATGGCTCTCACTAAATCAGATCTTATTCAAATTGATGAAACCGCACTCCTCTCACTACCTCTTCACCTGTGTTGATTTTTAATTTTAGGTATGTGGACGATCTGAGCAAATTTGTCAGGCGATATCATTCTGTGATGGACACTCTGAGTGAGGCTCAAGTCATTATGCTGACACCACAAATCCAGGAAGTCACAAAAGGGATGCAGTATGGATGCAAACGACTCAACTGGAATTCTTTGGGTACTTTAATTCAGAAACCGCCTCGTTATTAGCTGCTTGGTGCTGGTACTTGGTACTCAGGACTCACTTTTTTATTCAGAACTGTTGTAATGGCTCGTGGCATTGACTCAGTAACATTATCGTGTTCAAAAATACTTAAAGATGGTCTATGTATCTTTCTATAAAAAATGTAAAAAAAAAAAAAATCTGTGAAAAGATCAAGCTCCTCCACTGCTGTTGACATAATGCACCTCTGCTGGTCAAAAACAACCAATCAGGGCCAGGAGGAGTGTCTTAGCTCCATCAATAATCCTTGTGGTTGTGCTTCTCAATGTGCTAATAGCAAAGAAACAACTGTTTATCTGCTGTCATTGGATACACGATGACAGCGGATGGATGTGTGTATGTGTGTGAGACAAAGAGCTTGCCATCTAATCAAAACAAGTTAATCAAATATATAAAAAACACTGGAATATCAATATATAATCAAAGTTATTCAACAAATGGATAGAATATGTACAAAAAGTATGGTCAGTTAGTAAAATGTAATATTTAAAAACCGCCACTGATGGCAATACAATAAAGCAACCTAAATTTGGAACCTAATAAATCCACCCAAGACACCACACAAAGGATGAGAATCGTCACTGCAAATGGAGCAATTAAAGACTATCCATCTGCAACTCTCGCTTTTCTGGCAACCCTAACGTCTTATCCAGCTGGCTCAGTGAGTTCCTCTCCCTCAGGAGCAGGAATCAAACCATGACATTAATGATAAAGTTAAAACCGATTGAATAAAAGCGCTAAAAATCAATGTCATTATTTGTTTGCATTTGTCAATCTGAAAATTATATTTGTGACACTGCACCTGGTCATGTTCTTTCTTAAAGGCATCAGGGTGTCAAGAAAATATCCACCCCATTGCACACCCTGTAGACCCTACTATCTGAATGCTCACTGACCAGGCATGCCAGCGCAAATTGTTAATATTTAAAAACAAAAGTTCCAAATGCCTTACTTTCCTTTTTGCACTCAATCTGGCGCTTAGTTTGAACTTCAGCAAGCCAACTTCACAACATCTGAATTCTTAAGTTGAGTGAAGGACAGATTCCCTATTTCAGTGAACAAGCAATTGAACAAGTGTATCTGAATAAGTGGTCAGTGATTATATGTGTGAAAGATTATCAAATTGCGGAAATGTATATGCATGATATGTATTTGGTTTCAGGTATACAGGACTTCATCAATGGAGGTTTACAGAACCTTTCTAAATTTGAATCTCTGGTCAAGCAGATTTTGAACAACGAGAAGGAAATAGAATCCAAGTTATACTTAATAATGATGTCCAACATATTAAATTTTTCAGTACCAGAGACAACAAATGATGTACCAGGTAGAAGTATTTTATTTATTTGCTGTACGAATAAGGCTTTTTAAGAATGTAGAAATGTTATGTAATGTACTCTGTTTAAAAGGTCTCAAGGAGTTCTGCAGACGCGTTGAGCTCGAGCGGGTCAAGACATTGGTCTTGCCTATTAGTAAATACACTGATATTGGTTTCCTCATCACTAAGACTGAACATTTGATCCTGGGAACCAGCAGCGGAAAAGCCAAATCTATGGCAAATTACTACACTCACTGGGAGCGCAAAGTGTTTGACTCAATCGTAAAGATGGTGGTGAGGTAATCACTTGAAATATATATTGTTAAAGTCTTATTCTCTTTTTAGAACCCGCAGTTCAGTCTGTCTTTCATATTGACTTTGCTTTAAGGAGTATTAAGGAGTTCGACGAGGCGCTCATGGGAACAACACCTTTGTTTCAAATTGATGCCATCCTTTCTGCGCCCAAGATTGTGTCGCAACCCCAAAGTAATGAAATCTATTGGGTGCTCATGCAGTGCATTAGAGAATGTATTGAGAGCACTAAAGTAAGGTCATCACAATTTTTAAACTATTTTACTAAAATGAAAATAATTTTCTTTTCTAACTGTGGCCATATTTCTATGTTAAGCGGTTTCCACGCTGGATGAATGGGACCTGCCTCGAATGCCCACCACAGCAAGTGCATGGTGAGGAGGAGTTAGTAACCGTATCCTTCCTCAGCGACGTCTGGCTTGACCCCTCGCTAAAAGAGACTGCTATGGCAACTTCTGAAAACATCAAGCGACTTCTTCTCTCCATGGAACGATACCTAAACACCTGGAAACACTACCGAGCCCTTTGGGAAAAGAACAGAACTATTGTCAATGAAACGTTTGCAGCAAAGAACCCATCCTGTGCTATGTACGATGAAAAGTTACAGTTCCTAAGTAACATTAAGCGTAAGGTGATGCAGGAACCTCGATTCAAGGCCAAGTACAGTATCTATCTGAACCTGGAACCACTGGAGAACACATTGGAAGAACTCGCTGAGTCCTGGATTACTTCCCTTAGTAGCTTTCTAAATAAGCCTGCTAAAGAGGATCTCTTCAGCTTGAAGGATGAACTCATGGTGCGTTTTTCAATATACTTCAATGCTTCCATGGTCAAAATTCTTGTTTTTAATAACATGTGTTGCTGTTTTTTTTTTTAAACAAAAAAACAGCAACTCGACAAGAAGCTGAAGAAAAGCCCTGAAACGTTTGATGACTTGAAGAGTGTGCTGTCCACCATTTCAGACATTAGGGCCATGTCTTTAGATGTGGAAATCAGATACCTCGATATCCAGGAAAAATACAGAACTCTGGCCATGCACAATGTGAAGGTACTGTGTCAGATATTTGACTGCTATTGAAAAAACTCCATTGTTTAACTTGTTAAATGTATTGTCACTCTTGCATTCTAGGTTGGAGAAGATGAACAGGAGCTAGTTGCCAAGATTGCGCTTATTTGGCGTGATCTTTTTGTTGAAGCTAGAGAAGTGGATGAAAGTCTAGCAGATGTCAAAAAATCATTTACTGATGTAAGACATGAAAAACTCATGCAAACCACACCAAAATAAAATTTTATTTTAACAAGTTTTCCTGCAAATGTATTCATACCATTTGAAGTTTTGATGTATCACAACATAAACCTTCAATGCAATTTGAATTTTATTTAACATTACATAACATTACAAGTCCCCTCTGTCCGATATATTCATTCATCTACTTCTGATGGTTGCAACAGTGATCTGTAAGATATTAAAACCAATTTCTTTATTCCCTATCCATCTGCTCTGGACTTTATTTATGGTATCAGAGTAAAGGAAGCCTATTATAAAAGTGTTACACTTTTGTTCTTGTAGAATGTTCCAGCAGCCTTGTAGAGTTTTTGTTCCACTTCACATTTAGTCATTGCTTCGTGTTGAGTCATCCCAGTAAAATACAGCAAAGTTTGTGGTTGTAATGCGATCAAATGTCATAATATCAATAAGTAGGAATACATTTGCCAGGCATTGTACTTTGCAAAGTTATATCTCTGTAGAACCCTATGAATGCACTTTCTGTTCTCTGTGTTACTTTTAAAGATTACAAAGAACAAGATTGGAGACTTTAAACAGGACCTGCTTGTTTTTGCTGAAAGCTTCAGCCTTCACGGTCCTGGATCTGTGGGAGATAATTTGGATCAAGGTGCTTGGATGATTCATGGTTTTGTAATTTCTTTCTTTTTTTTTTTTTTTTTTTTTTCTTCTAATGCTATGCTATTCTTGTTTCCAGGACTTATAATAATGGCTAAATACGAGGAAGACTTAGCCAGAATAGAGGCAGAACGGTCTGACCTCACCAATGCCGAAAAACTGTTAAACCTACCAGTCACCATGTATCCAGAGGCTACCAAGATTCAGAAAGAAATGCAGGGCTTAAGACAGATATATAGTGTTTATGAGGCCCAGAAGGTGGGACAGTGTTGTTGCTGTCAGTGAAGAACTGAAATTGCAGGATGTTCTTGAGGTTGTCAAGTTTTTCATGAGATGGTCTGTTTGGGTTTTTTTTTTTTTTAGAAAGCAAAAGCAACGTGGTCTGAGACGTTGTGGGTCGATTTGGACATGCAGGTGCTACAGGACGGCATAGAGGGTTTCATCAAAAGATTTAGAAGGCTGCCTAAACATGTGCGGACTTTACCCGTGGGCTTCTATCTAGACGCATGTATGAAGGAGTTCAAAGAATCTCTGCCGCTTTTGCTAGATCTGAAGAATGAAGCCCTTAGAGACAGGTGAGTGTGAATGCTCAAGATTCCATGTTTTTGCATTTAAATGACTAAATTCCATCATACTTTATCATTGTGTTTACACAGAATGTTTAGTCATGGTCAATAAATGTATATATTATTGAAACGTTTGGTTATTTCAGTAAATCAGTTACTGAAATAAGCAAAATACATTATGTAGATTACTTACACACTGACAGATGTTTTGAAGCGTTTATTTCTTGTAATTCTAATAATTTTCCACTCGCACCGAATGAAAACACAGCTTTTAAGATTGCTCTATTTTATATGACCAATTAAAAACAAATTTTTAATATAGAATTATGAGCTTATTGAAAAGTGGTTTTAATATTTGTTTAAATATATTTTCAAAATATCCCTTTTGAAAATAGCTTTTATTTTCAAAAGGGATATTTTTATACTGACAAAAGAGTCTCAGCAGAACACATATTCTAATTTATTGAATATGAGAATATTCTCATAATATAATTGAGGAAGGAATAAGTTTGTGGGCTGCCTAAACATGTGCGGCAAAATTGTGAGCAACTTTTTATATTGCAGGCACTGGAAGGAGTTAATGGAAAGGACCGGTACCAAGTTTGAGATGAATACTGAGAGCTTTACTCTGCAGAACATGTTTGCTATGGAGTTGCACAAATATGCTGATGTGATAGGTGACATTGTCACCTCTGCTGTAAAAGAGCTGAGTATTGAGAAGGTAAGCGTTTCCTCAATTTAACATATCCAGCTGAAGTTCAAATTTAATCTATATCAGTTTACGATTGAAACTGGTAATTGTGGACAAATCATATATTGCATGTTTTTTCTTTTTTTTTTTTTTCTGGTATGCTTGTAGGGAGTGACAGCAGTATCAGAGACCTGGGACAATATGAGGTTTATCGTGCAGACCTATTTCAAAGGCACCAAGGAACATGGTGTTATTCTAGGTGCTGTAGATGAGATCCTACTGAATGTGGACAATGATGTCATGAACTTACAGAGTATGGCTGGCAGCCGTTTTGTTGGACCTTTCCTTAATATTATACAACGGTGGGAAAAAGATCTGTCACTCATTAGTGAGACAATAGAGGTGGGTAAATCCCTCTTCTTATTTTTTGTTTTTCTCTATGTTATAAGCACACAACATGGTTCATTTAGGTTTTATGTGACAGGCCAACAAAAAGTGAAAGGGAAATGATACATGGATTTAAATCCCGTCCATCCATCCATCCATCCATCCATCCATCCATCCATCCATCCATCCATCCATCCATCCATCCATCCATCCATCCATCCATTTAGATTTGAAAGCACTGATCCTCATCCTGGCTGCTTCACCCTCAGCGGTGAACCGCTTCAGAGAAAGTTGTGGATCATGACCTGATGAAGCCAGTAGAACCACATTATCTGCTAAAAGCAGAGAAGCGATCCTAAAGCCACCAAAACATATCCCCTCAACACCTTGGCTGCGCCTAGAAATTCTGTCCATATACAGTTAGGGCCAGAAATATTTGGACAGTAACACAATATTTGTGAGTTGCGCTCTGCATGCCACCGCATTGGATTTGAAATGAAACCGCTACAACAGAATTCAAGTGCAGATTGTAACGTTTAATTTAAAGGGTTGAACAAAAAATATCTGATAGAAAATGTAGGAATTGTACACATTTGTTTACAAACACTCCACATTTTAGGAGCTCAAAAGTAATTGGACATATAAACATAACCCAAACAAAAAAGTTTTTTCTCAATATTTTGTTGTGAATCCTTTGGAGGCAATCACTGCCTTAAGTCTGGAACCCATGGACATCACCAAACGCTGGGTTTCCTCCTTCTTAATGCTTTGCCAGGCCTTTACAGCCGCAGCCTTCAGGTCTTGCTTGTTAGTGGGTCTTTCCGTCTGAAGTCTGGATTTGAGCAAGTGAAATGCATGCTCAATTGGGTTAAGATCTGGTGATTGACTTGGCCATTGCAGAATATTCCACCTTTTTGCTCTCATGAACTCCTGGGTAGCTTTGGCTGTATGCTTGGGGTCATTATCCATCTGTACTGTGAAGCGCCGTCCGATCAACTTTGCAGCATTTGGCTGAATCTGGGCTGACAGTATATCCCGGTACACTTCAGAATTCATCCGGCTACTCTTGTCTGCTGTTAAGTCATCAATAAACACAAGTCACCCAGTGCCATTGAAAGCCATGCATGCCCATGCCATCACGTTGCCTCCACCATGTTTTACAGAGGATGTGGTGTGCCTTGGATCATGTGCCGTTCCCTTTCTTCTCCAAACTTTTTTCTTCCCATCATTCTGGTACAGGTTGATCTTTGTCTCATCTGTCCATAGAATACTTTTCCAGAACTGGGCTGGCTTCTTGAGGTGTTTTTGGGCAAATTTAACTCTGGCCTGTCTATTTTTGGAATTGATGAATGGTTTGCATCTACATGTGAACCCTTTGTATTTGCTTTCATGGAGTCTTCTCTTTACTGTTGACTTAGAGACAGATACACCTACTTCCCTGAGAGTGTTCTGGACCTCAGTTGATGTTGTGAACGGGTTCTTCTTCACCAAAGAAAGTATGCGGCGATCATCCACCGCTGTTGTCTTCCGTGGACGCCCAGGCCTTTTTGAGTTCCCAAGCTCACCAGTCAATTCCTTTTTCCTCAGAATGTACCCGACTGTTGATTTTGCTACTCCAAGCATGTCTGCTATCTCTCTGATGGATTTTTTCCTTTTTTCAGCCTCAGGATGTTCTGCTTCACCTCAATTGAGAGCTCCTTTGACCGCATGTTGTCTGGTCACAGCAACAGCTTCCAAATGCAAAACCACACACAAAACCACAGACCTTTTAACTACTTACTTGATTACAGGTTAACGAGGGAAAGGCCTTTTGAGTTACTTGCAGCCTTTAGAGTCCATTGTCCAATTACTTTTGGTCCCTTGAAAAAGAGGAGGCTCTGCATTACAGAGCTATGATTCCTAAACCCTTTCTCCGATTTGGATGTGGAAACTCTCATATTGCAGCTGGGAGTGTGCACTTTCAGCCCATATTATATATAAATTGTATTTCTGAACATATTTTTGTCAACAGCTAAAATAACAAAACCTGTGTCACTGTCCAAATATTTCTGGCCCTAACTGTAAGTAATGAACAGAATTGGTGACAAAGGGCAGCCTTGGTGGAGTCCAATTCCCACCAGAAATGAGCCTGACTTACTGCTGGCAATGCAGACCAGACTCTGACACTGGTTGTACAGGAACCTAACAGCTCGTATCAAAGGGCCCAGCACTCTATACTCCCGGAGTACCCTGCTCTATCACATAAAATCTAAGTGCAATACAGTAAATCTTTTGGTTTTAATGTTAACAAAATGTGAAACAGTCACATCATTGCATTTAAATGATTAAATTCCATCATACTTTTTATCATTGTGGCAATATATAAGTCAATGTATAAGTCTTTACTGTAGCCATTCAAAGGCAAACTGACAGAAAGGTCTTTTTATAGATATGGCTGGTTGTACAGCGAAAGTGGATGTATCTGGAGAGCATATTCATTGGTGGAGACATTCGCTCGCAGTTACCTGAAGAAGCTAAGAAGTTTGATAATATTGACAAGAAGTTTAAAGAAGTGAGCTTCACTTTGATATATTTTGATCAAAGCAGAGTATGTTGTGAATGGACTTATCCAATTAATATATTTTTCAATTCTTTGTAGATAATGACTGACACAGAGAAGATTCCAAATATTAAGCATTGCTGCCTGGGTCCGAGTCGGCTACCAGACCTACAGGCCTTGAGTCTTGGTCTAGAGAGGTGCCAGAAGAGCCTCAATGACTACCTGGACTCCAAGCGAAACGCATTCCCGCGTTTTTTCTTTATCTCTGATGATGAACTGCTCAGTATTCTTGGGAGTAGCGACCCTACTTGTGTTCAGGAACACATGATCAAGGTGACAGGTCATTTCACAAGATATTCAAAACAAATCCTTATTTTTAATAATACTCCTGTCATACTTTCATTGTATTTGGAAAACATTATGCCATAAAGTAAGGCTCCCAGACCATCTTCAAATGAATGTTACACAATTTGATAACCAGAAATACCCGCCTTCCTGTGACTTAGACTAATTGGGTATTAATATAGCCAGTCATAGAACAGCTGGATAGTGGGATTTTCAACCAATTGATTAGAACGTTACATAAACCCTTTACTGTGGAATATTGTGAAAAGGGACACATGGACTTCATAGACACCGTACAGGTTGATTGTGAACAAATGTAATACATCTCCCTGCACTGACTGAAAGAGATTTTAAATTCACCAGCATACTTGGCAGGAAAAACAAGTAGTTCACTGCTTCTTTAGAGAAGAAGAGAACAACTGCTCACCATGTTTGTAAAATGCTGTTTCTGATGTTCTTTTTTTGCCTTTATTGTTGCACAAGATGTATGACAACATAGCTTCACTAAGATTCGACATGGAAACCAGTGGTGAGGCAGTAGTTGCTGCCATGGTGTCTGCTGAAGGTGAGGTGATGGAGTTTAGGAGCTTCGTCCCAGTGGAGGGAAGGGTGGAAGAGTGGATGTTGGCAGTACTTCATGAGATGCGGAGAACTAACAGGCTTATCACTAAGGAAGCAATCTTTCGCTATTGCGAAGACAGGAGTAGGTAAGTGTTGACACATAGCGAGCTACAGGATTTCTCATGAGCAAACAGGCTACAGGCTCATTCCCATGTTCATCAGGGTAGAGTGGATGCTTCTGTACCAGGGTATGGTAGTGCTTGCTGCAAATCAAGTGTGGTGGACCTGGGAGGTTCAAGATGTCTTTAGAAAGGTGAAAGAAGGAGAAAAATATGCTCTGAAGTACTACGCTGAAAAGATGCACCGCCAGATTGATGAACTTGTTACGCGCATCACTCAACCTATGAAGAAAAATGACAGAAAGAAGATTAACACTGTGCTCATCATTGATGTCCATGCCAGAGACATTGTGGACAGTTTTGTGGACAACAGGTGAGCATTCGTATTTCAACCTCGTTAGCCCCATGTTTTATGGTTAACTCAATGACAGTACAAGATTTGAGTGAACATATCGGTCTTTTTGCAGTATAATGGATGCACAAGAGTTTGAGTGGGAAAGCCAACTAAGGTTTTATTGGATCGAGCACCATGACGACCTGTTTGTTCATCAGTGCAGTGCCACGTTTTCTTACGGTTATGAGTACATGGGCTTGAACGGTCGACTGGTTATAACTCCATTAACTGACCGGATCTACCTGACCCTCACACAGGTTTTAACACACATTGCAATACCTAAAGAAACACACAGCAAGATGTGGTGTGTTTTTAGTGGCAACTAATGAGCTGTGCATTTGTGAAACAGGCCCTCTCTATGTACTTGGGTGGAGCTCCTGCTGGACCGGCTGGTACAGGAAAAACAGAATCCACCAAAGATCTGGCTAAGGCTTTAGGCCTATTGTGTGTGGTTACAAACTGTGGTGAGGGCATGGACTACATGGTAGGAGGCACACATCAAGTAACATGCATAGATAATTATTTATTATTGAGATGTTTTTAGATTTAAAACCATATCGCTGTTTTGTACTTCAATGCCTTTCTTCTTTGTGCGCAGGCTGTTGGGAAGATCTTCTCCGGACTTGCCCAGTGTGGTGCTTGGGGTTGCTTTGATGAGTTCAATCGAATAGATGCTTCTGTGTTGTCAGTTATTTCTTCTCAAATGCAGACCATACGCAATGCTCTCATGTTACACTGTAAAACATTTCAGGTAAATCAGTTGTTATAATACATGAGTCTGAAAATATACAATTTATTTATCAATCTGAACAGTACCAGTAATACCCTTGAGATGATTCTTGAGCTATAACATTAAAATCACAAACTTCAATGTATTTTATTAGAATTTTATGCAATAGATAGACGCAAAGTAGTGCATAATTAGGAGGTGCAATGAAAATATCTGATTTTAAAATTCTTTTTATAATTAATATTATGAAAAGCTTGGTTTGAGTTTATGTTTACACCCTTTACTCTAATTTCTCTGATTAGAATTCACCTAACATGTAAATGCAGTCCACCTGTGTTAAATAACTAACCTTTGTTTGCAAAAAGAAGGGTAAAATATCAGTTCAATTGATATAATGCAAATTATAGCACCTTTTACAGATTGTTTTTCAAAACAGATTTTAAAGTTTTTTTTTTTCCTCTACAATTTTGCACTCCTTTTTGTCAATCACATAAAATCAGATCGCCGAACTTTAATGCTCGAGGTTCATTATATCAAAATGTAGCAATATCAATTGCTATATGCATAACTGAGCAAAGAACAGTTTAATAATTTTGGGATTTTGCACATAATTTTGGCAGTGACTAAGATGGGTTTTAACATGCTTGAAAACTTCCTTCTGATCCTGTGTTCAGTTTGAGGGACAAGAGATCACTATGGATGACCGCATGGGCATCTTCATCACCATGAACCCTGGTTACGCAGGACGTACAGAGCTCCCAGAATCAGTCAAAGCCCTCTTCAGGCCAGTGGTGGTGATTGTTCCTGACCTACAGCAAATTTGTGAGATAATGCTCTTCTCTGAGGGATTCCTCTTGGCCAAGGTAACCAGATAACAATAAATAGAAAAATTAATCATTCATAATTTAGTTCTTTCCATATTGAGTATAAAGGAAATATCTTGAAACACATAAAACAGAGATATGTTTGAGTTTTTTATTGTTCAAAAATATAAAATGATTTCTGAAATGTAATTTTTTAAGTATATTGTTAATTTTAGGTGCTTGCAAAGAAAATGACAGTCCTCTATAAGCTCGCTCGTGAGCAACTATCCAAGCAGTCTCATTATGATTTTGGCCTTCGCGCTCTGAAGTCTGTCCTGGTGATGGCAGGAGAGTTAAAGAGAGACTCAACAAACCTGCATGAGGTAATCACAAGGATTGTTGCTTGTGACTGGTTTAAATTATTTTCTTTCAGTCAAGAATTTTTTTTTTTTTCTGATAGCAAAAACCCATTTGCTGTGTAAATGTGTACAAGCTTGAATGGAGAAATTGAGGATTTTTAAAATGAATATACAACACCTAAAGTCTACAAACGGTTTGTTACTTTTAGATATTTTTGTATACCTTTGTCATTTAATTGTTGCATTTCTGTGTTTAACAGGACGTAGTGTTGATGCGCGCTCTGAGAGACATGAATCTGCCAAAGTTTGTTTTTGAGGATGTCCCTTTGTTCCTTGGTCTGATCGCCGACCTTTTCCCGGGACTTGACTGCCCTCGTGTTCGCTATCCTAACTTCAATGATGCTGTGGAGTACATACTGGAAGAGAACAAATATATTGTCCTACCTGACCAGGTGTTTCATCTTACCCGTAGCCTTCATTTGTTTGACCCTTCAACGCTTTGAAGTCTCTTGTCAAAGAGACATTTTAAAACTTCGCTTTTATCCGGATTCTGATAGGTGGATAAGGTAGTGCAGATGTATGAGACAATGATGACCAGACACACTACGATGGTTGTGGGCCCAACCGGTGGTGGAAAATCCGTTGTGATCAGCACGCTGTGTCAAGCTCAGACTAAGTAAGTGTCAATGTAGTTTCTTCATGTGGATTTTAAGTATGGACAAAGGTTGTTTTCTATTTGACCTCCTAATCAGAATGGGGCTACACACGAAGCTGTATCCACTGAACGCTAAAGCCATGAGTGTCATTGAACTTTATGGAATTCTTGACCCCGACACTCGAGACTGGACTGATGGGATTTTATCCAACATCTTCCGTGATATCAACAAGCCTACTGACAAAAAAGAGCGAAGGTAAATATATACTGCCTTAAAAGGTATTAGCACCTCTTGAACGTTTTCACATATTTTTACATTGCTACCACAAATCTTAGTGTATTTTATCAGTTTTATGTGATAAGCACCAGGTAGCAGAACATTATGGAGCAGAAGGCGCCACTTGGTTTTCAAACTTAAGGGAAATGAAAATCTTTGGTGCATATCTTTATTTAGTCATTCTCAGCAAATACTTTGCGGGGTCAGTTTTTAATGCTCATAAAACTGCTAATTATTTATTTGTCTCTACCTGCTGTGCTGTGTAGAGACAAACATTTTTGTTCATTTTTTTTTTCATAATAACAGGCAAATTATATTTCTCTGATAAACTTCTTAAGCCGTTGCATTGGACTTCCAGGTACATCTTGTTTGATGGGGATGTCGACGCCCTTTGGGTTGAAAATATGAACTCGGTAATGGATGATAACAAGCTCCTCACTTTAGCTAATGGAGAACGGATTCGTTTACAGAACCATTGTGCACTGCTGTTTGAGGTTTGTTTGTATGTACATGTTTCTGAAAGCAGAACACCTCATTTGTACACTATCAAAAAGTCTAACAAAATCTGCCATCACAGGTTGGCGATTTGCAGTATGCTTCCCCTGCTACTGTGTCTCGCTGTGGGATGGTGTTTGTTGACCCAAAGAACCTGCGATACACTCCATACTGGCAAAGATGGGTGGCTAGTCGACCTGAGAAGGTTTTTAAGAATGATTTATTCAGTATTTTCTGTATTTTTTTAACTTAAAATGCATTTCTAATAAAAATGTTATTTACTTTTCAGGAACAAGAGACTCTTAGTGGACTGTTTGAGAAATATGTGCACAGTTCTATTGAATTGATTATAGAAGGTATTGTTGACGGTAAAAATGAAGCGAAACTGGAGACGGTGGTCCCTCAGACAGACCTGAATATGGTAGGTTGGCTTCTCCTCAAATATGTTACTGCATTCATGAATTTCTAAGAATATATTATTTAAATTTCAAACCAGTTTGCCATTAAGGCTGTTTCATTTCACTTTGCATGTTTTGATCAGGCTGTTTCATTTCACTTTGCATGTTTTGATCATCTCTTCAGGTGACTCAGTTGTGCTTAACACTGGATGCACTGCTGGTGGGTGATGATAGCAGCCCTGATCTCCTGGAGTGTTACTTCCTGGAAGCTCTGTACCTCTCACTGGGAGCCACGTTGGTGGAAAGTGACAGGCTCAAGTTTGATGAGTTCATCAAAAGACTTTCCTGCTTAACTGCCGTGCACGATCCAAATACACTGGCAGGGCCTAGTGATATCCCAGGTAAGAAGCTGAGATGTATTCTTTCATCTGGAATAGAATAAATAACACTTCACAAATATGTCATATTATTGCCTTCATGCAGCATCCCTCCCAACTCTGTTTGATTTCCATTTCGATGGTGTTCAAATGAAGTGGGTTCCCTGGCGCTCCCTGGTAGAAAAATACACTCACAATCCTGAAATGAAGTTTGCTGATATTCTGGGTAACAGTTATTTGTCTGAGCAGTATTTGCAGATGCATATTTGAAAAAAACAATACGAAACAAGTTTAAGTTTTCAAGCCTTTGAGGTTTGCTCTAAATTCTTTTTATCTACTTAGTGCCAACTGTTGACACCACACGAACCAGCTGGATCTTGGAGCAGATGGTGAAGATAAAAAGACCAGTCTTACTTGTTGGAGAATCAGGCACTTCAAAGACTGCCACCATTCTTAACTTTTTGAAGCATATTAATCCTGATACATGGGTAATTTCAACTTTAAATCACTCAATCATATAGTGCATTTGAAAAGTTTTCATACCCCTTAGATTTTTTTCCATGTTTAGCTCAGTTATTCCTGATTTTTTTTTCACCAGCCTTGTTCTTATTGAAGAACAGTAGCGTGAAAGAAAAGCCAGGAATCTTTTTTTATAGCCTAACCCTGTTTTAACCTTTCTAAAAACTTCAGCCCTGACTGGTTTTCTGTGTTTCTTGGTCTTCATGATGATGTTAACTTATGTTGTCTGTCAAACTGAAGCTTTCACAAAACAGCTATATTTATAGTTAGAATAAATTACATGTGGATTAACTGTACTTTTAGTTGATCTCTGAAGGAAACTGGTTTTTGGATTTTATTTATAATCATTAGAGTAAAGGGGTGACTACAAGTATACCTTATACCTTCAGATTATCTTTGGGAAATATTAAAAACAATAAATCTTGCAGTTGACAGTTTTGTGCTTCTTTGTATTGATCCATTATATAAAATGTATGTAAAATACAGGAAAGTATGTGAGCAAAATATGAAATCAGCCAAAGCATAAAAATACTGTATTTTTGCAAGGCATTGGATGTATAATCTGACTGAAAATTTTATTTCTGTCTAGATTAATCTGATCATCAACTTTTCATCAAGAACAACGTCAATGGATCTGCAGAGAAACTTAGAGGCTAATGTGGAAAAAAGGACCAAAGATATATATGGTCCTACAATGGGGAAGAGACTTCTGGTATTTATTGATGACATGAATATACCAAAGGTGTGTGCTCCAACATATCTACTGAATTACTTTTTATTTACTTGGTAGTGAAAGTATAAGAAGCTTTCCTGTTTTACTGCAGGTGGATAGCTATGGGACACAACAGCCTATTGCACTCCTAAAGCTGCTTTTGGACCGAGGTGGTATTTATGACAGAGGAAAAGAACTTAATTACAAAATCCTGAAAGACCTCGGCTTTATTGCTGCCATGGGAAAGGCAGGAGGGGGTAGGAATGAGGTGGATCCACGCTTCATCTCTCTCTTCAGCGTCTTCAGCAGCCCCTTTCCATCTTTGGAGTCTCTCCACCTCATCTATGCCTCTATTCTCAAGGGACACACCAAAGTAAGACTAACGTTTTACACACAGAACATCACCATTTTATGTCACTCTGATATTAAAATGCAACATGGGGTATTTTAGCTATTTGAGGAGGGCATTCAGAAGGTGTGCGATAAAATCACAACCTGCACCCTGGAACTCTACAACCTCATCATAAAAGATCTTCCACCGACTCCCTCCAAGTTCCACTACATCTTCAACCTCAGAGACCTGTCAAGAGTCTACAACGGACTGGTTATCACCAAACCAGAGATGTCGGATCTGTTTTATTCTCCTACTCATCTGACAGTTTAAGAAAGATCTGCCTTCCAAAATGACCTGCTTTTCTTACAGATTTGTGACTGTCACCCAATTTGTGCGTGTCTGGAGGAATGAGTGCTTGAGAATCTTCCATGACAGACTCATTGATGAAACTGACAAGACGTTGGCAAGTTGAATTAACACTACTAATTGATTGCCAGCTTTGTGTATTGTAATTGTTTTTTAGATCCAAATCTTTGAGAGTGTCATTATTGTTTATCTTGGAGTTGTCAGCTTTTATTATATTTTCCCAAAAGGTCCAAGGTCACATAAAGAATCTGGTTGAAGAACATTTTAAGGCAGAAATGGAGGCGGTGATGACCAACCCAATACTCTTCGGGGACTACAGGAATGCTTTTAATGAAACTGAACCCAGGGACTACGAGGACATTCAAGACTATGAATCCTCAAAAGCAATCTTTGAGGTAAGTCTAGGGACACAAATGAGAGTTTTTGCCTGCACCAAAAGTCCTTTCGGAATTTAAATATTGTAATAATGCAATACTTTGTGCCATTAGCTACTACCATGTGTTACAACAATGACACTATTTTCTTTGACACTCTGCAGTTTATTCTTGAGGAATACAATGAGACCATGTCAAGGATGAACCTTGTGCTGTTCGAAGATGCTTTGGAACATCTGACTCGAATTCACCGTATTGTCCGCATTGATCGGGGCCACGCACTGCTTGTCGGAGTGGGGGGCTCCGGCAAACAGTCCCTCGCCAAGCTTGCTGCTTTTGCTGCAGAGTGTGAGGTTGTAATATATTTTCTACTTGCAATCGAAAACCAACAATACATGTACTGTAGTTTTTAATCGGAAATTTATGACAGCTGAATTCTATTAAGAAATATCAAATGTACAATATGAATATGTGAATGTCTACTCGACCCTCAATTCTGGTTAGAAGACTATAGTTATCTTAGTCATCAGCTTAGATGACTAAGATAACTAAGACATTCATACACAGAACTGTTCATACATCACACACTTCTTTGTTTCATATTTCTTCATGTTGCAAATAAAATTCAATCTATTTATTGGAACTGTTTTTGAGAGACTAACATACATGACTGCAAATTAGAAAGAAGACATAAAATATAAAATTGAATTACAGTTACAGCTGCAAGTATTTTGGGTGTGTGTCTCTACCAGTATTCAAATATTTAAGGACAAAGAATTGCCAGTCATCAAAAATGATTAGGTTATTTGAATTGAAAAGAACTGAAGTTTTGCACAGAAAAGCAGAAATACAACATGTTTAGAGGTTCACTCACCACTTGCAGTAACAGAAACAAACTTTGTGTCAGGTGTTTGAGATAACGCTTAGCAGAGGATACTGTGAGACCAACCTCAGAGACGATTTAAAAGGCTTGTACTTGAACCTTGGCATTGAAAACAAGAAGATAGTATTCCTTTTCACGGATGCCCACGTTGCTGAGGAAGGCTTCTTGGAACTTATCAACAACATGCTCACCTCAGGTTTGATAAATCCCTTTGACCAAGACGGCATACGTCCTCTGAAATCACGAATAATCACTAATCAGAAAGTCTCTTTATAGGCATAGTTCCTGCACTGTTTCCTGATGATGAGAAGGAGGCTGTTCTGAACCAGATTCGTGAAGAGGCTCTGAAAATGGGATCAGGTCCCTCCAAAGAGAGCGTGTGGCAATACTTTGTCAGTAAAAGTGCTAACAATCTGCACATTGTATTAGGCATGTCTCCAGCAGGAGACACTCTAAGGACACGCTGCAGGAACTTTCCAGGTGACATATACATTTAGTTTTTACAAATTTTTGAAATTCATATTACTAATTATATACAATCTGTTGTAAGGACTGATGAACAACACTGTGATAGATTGGTTTCTCCCATGGCCTCGACAAGCATTGCAAGCAGTGGCTCACTCTTTCCTTGGTATGTTATACATTTATTTTCTGAATGAATTTTTTTTAGGAAAAAAAACGAGTGTTTGTGCTTTGGCTGCTGCCCCCACAATCCAACTCCTGATAGGAAGAAGGAGGAAGGAGGGATTTGTTTCTATAACTTTTACTATTTAATTGTAATCAAGCATGCCCATAGAGGTCATTATACTCATTTCCATACTTGCCAATCCAAAAAATCTATATAAAAAAAGACATAAAAGAAAAATGAGTGAATGGCAGAATTTATCAGCTGTCTTTTGCGAACATCAAAGTCTGGAGCCTATAGCTTGAGTTCATGAGGCTAAACTGGTGGTTTGTCTGTTGAGTTGGCTCTTTGGTGAGCCTTGTCTACCTGTAATCCATTAAAGATTTTTTTTAGTTTTGTCACAAGCAACTGTTTGTGACTAAACACAAACAGTTGTGTTTGTGTTTAGTCACATGCTGGCAGCCTTCAGGCATGAGGTTGCAATTTCTGCTCTGGTGATGTCCACCATTTTTACACTGATTCCTTGTAAGTAGAAGCACTCACATTTTCAAGAAAAACTGTGTCATCACAACAATATTAAAGATATATGAAGTATATCCTCTCCTCAAATTCATTCTGATTTTGGCTTTACTGTCCTCCAAGAATGTAGTTGTCAAAAGAATGTTCCTTCACTCTACCTATTTAATTCTGTTTTTTTTCTTTCTACAGGTGAAAACCCCATGATTCCTGAATCTCTCACTGAGGCAGTCATAGATCATGTGTGCATGGTCCATACCAATGTTGAAGAATACAGCAACATTTTCCTGCAGAAACTCAGACGATATAACTTTGTTACTCCAAAGAACTACTTGGACTTTATTAACACCTACTGTACTCTCTTGGAGGATAAGGACAAATTTATTTTAGGTAAGAAGATATGGATGTAATATTAAGCATGATACTTGGTTTGGTGGACCAGTACAAGCAAAAGGCTTTGTGTTAGTATGTTACTGATAATTTTAGAGGCTGCTCTTTACATTTGTAGCTCAATGCAAGCGCTTAGAGGGTGGGCTGGATAAACTGAAGGAAGCCAGCGACCAGCTGGCTGAACTTAATATCAAGCTTGCAGATCAGAAGATTGTCCTTGCTGAAAAGTCGGAAGCTTGTGAAACCCTGCTGGAAAACATTTCCGTAAACACAAGAGTAGGTCAGTAATTGCTTGCATCTTTCAGCTACAGTATGTGCTCTAGAGGTGTATGGATTTATAATGTATCACTAAAAACAATAGTGTTACTGTATTAACTTTTTTTTTTCCTTTTAGCTGAAGAGAAAAGAACCTTGGCTGAAGACAAAGCTAAGGAGATTGAAGTACAAAACAAAGTCATCGCTGTTGAGAAGAAAGAAGCTGAAAGTTCCTTGGCTGAAGCTATGCCAGCATTGGAGGCAGCTCGTATTGCCCTGCAAGACCTGGAAAAATCAGATGTGACTGAAATCCGGTAATCTGAATTTGTTAACATAATTATTTGTTATAATGATAATAGCTGTCGGATGCTAAAATTAGCCAGTATAACCAGCTACATCTTGAGATAAAACACAGAACTAGAAAACAAGACGATAGCCTAAAAAAATTGTGTGGCTAGGCTGAAGTATTGGACAGCTATTGATCATCAGAAACAATATTTTAATTATTTCGTAATCAGTCTTCTTCTGTTAACTGTCTCTTTCTCACTGGTACGTCATTTAGGTCTTTTGCTAAGCCACCTAAACAAGTGCAAGTGGTTTGTGAGTGCATTCTGGTGCTGCGTGGCTACAAGGAAATCAGCTGGCAGTCAGCTAGGGGGATGATGTCTGAAGCCAACTTCCTTCGCACCTTAATGGAAATGGATTGTGATGCCATATCTAATCCCCAGGTCAGGACAGTCAAAGGTAAGATGGTATGATATTTGGAAAACCTGCCTTGAAATGCGACTAAACTAACAGTGATGTTTATTGATTGATTTATTCAACACACTCACGGTCCACGTAGACATTAAAACAAAGAGATAGTACACAACATCAGCAGCAAATAATGCCTTGCTTATGTCTTAACAGCAGTCCACATTGAACTGTATAATGTTATATGATTCAACCCGACCAGGCTTCCTAAAGAACTTACAGACAAGTTTGGAGGAAATGCAAGCCATCAGCAAAGCTGGCTCAGGGATGCTCAAGTTTGTGGAAGCAATCGTAGGCTACTGTGACGTCGCCAAGGAAATTAAACCCAAGAGAGATAAAGTAATTCAGTAATTCATTGTTCCCCTTTTGCTGTACTGCATAAAAAACAGTTGGAATCAAAAATACATCATGTTTTTTTTTTTTTTTTTTTTTTGTTTTTTTTATTGTTCTTAGGTGGCACGCCTAGAGAAGGACTTTTTTCAGAGCAAGAAGGAATTGGAACGCATTCAAAAAGAGCTCACAGATATTCAGACAGAATTGCAAGGTCTTAAAGAGAGGTACGAAGCCGCTATCCTGGAAAAGCAGAAGCTGCAAGAAGAGGCTGAACTCATGGAGAGGAGGCTTATAGCCGCTGACAAACTCATCTCTGGACTCAGCTCGGAAAATGAAAGGTTCAATTATGCAAGAAATACAATTGTTCTAAAACATTACAATCAGATGCCAAAGTCGAAAGATATTAGCTTAAATGGACCGTAACTTTTTGTTGTTCTCATATGTCCTGTATTTTCTAAATATAGGATATGTTTTTAAAACTGAATACCTGTTTGAACCTTTTTTACGGACCTTAGGTGGAACACAGATTTGGAAGAGTTGAGGCAGAGGCGTGTGCGCCTCCTTGGGGACTGCCTGGTGTGTGCCGCTTTCCTGAGCTACGAAGGGGCCTTTAGCTGGGATTTCAGGAATGAAATGGTGTATCAAGTATGGGTTCATGATGTGCAGGAGAGAGGCATCCCCTTGAGTGAGCCTTTCAAAGTGGAAAGCCTTCTTACTGATGAAACAGAGATCAGCAGGTGGGTGGGAGATAAAATCAGAAATGTGATCCACTGAGGCCAAGACAATTTAAACCTTGTCAACAAAATAACTTGTGTAGATCAATTAGTTTTTTTTAAACTCAGTGATCAAAACTATCTGTGCCTATTGAACCTATGCAACAGATGGGGCTCTGAGGGTTTGCCTCCTGATGAGCTGTCTGTGCAGAATGGAATCCTGACAACAAGAGGAAGTCGATTCGCCTTGTGCATCGATCCTCAGCAGCAAGCATACAACTGGGTTAGAAAGAAGGAGGAAAGCAACAATCTCAAGGTAAGATGTTATGTGCAAAATACCTCCAAAGGTTTCAAAAAAATTTTCTTAAATTTTGCAGTCGCACAGAAAAAAAAATGGGAACCTTCTTTTATTTGTCACTGATGTTTATATATCTGCTGTCACAGAAGAGAGCAGTTGTACATGTTTCTTTTTGTCCACTCAGTTTTTTCTGTGCTTTAGCATGAATGCAATAATTTTAGAAATGAAAAGGTTAATTTATGTAATATTTTGTTAAAGCAGTTGTGAATCCTTTAACAAAGGATTCTCTTGTGAATGGATTTTCACAAGGTGAATGCCTCTTACAAGATCACATTTTTTTCTCAAGAAATTTCATTTGAGTTGCAAATTTGTCATTTTGTTGTTCTTGGCATACGGTATAGTTAAATTCTATCAAATTTCTACATCATAGTTTTATCCAGACAGTCAGTAACTAAGATAATAAGTAAAAATGCTATGTGCATTTTAGCCCACAATGATTTATTCCCTTGACCAATTTAGATATAAATTTATTCTCTTTCAACCAAAACCTTTCTGATAGGATATTACACACAAATTTATCAAAACATAATGAGACAATGGAAAAGGAGATTTTATTATTATTATTTTTTTTTTAATTTTATTTTATTTTGCCTGTGCTGTAGTTAGCAACTGAGCTAACATTAGAACGTATCGGTTTTTGCTTTTACTCCTAACATCTGTGAACATCTTTTCCCTCAGATCTCATCTTTCAATGATCCGGACTTTTTGAAACAGCTGGAGATGGCCATTAAATATGGCTCTCCCTTCCTTTTCCAAGATGTAGATGAGTATATCGATCCAGTAATTGACAATGTTTTGGAGAAAAATGTGAAAGGAGCTGAGGGGCGACAGGTCATAATGCTGGGTGACAAGGAGGTGCATTATGATCCCAACTTTAAACTTTATCTCAACACCAAATTGTCTAATCCCAAATATTCTCCAGCGGTGTTTGGAAAAGCCATTGTCATTAACTACACAGGTATGACCCACACTATGACAACTGAGGTTGTCATCTGTATGTTATCAAGGACTAAGTGGATTGTCTTTGAAAATCTAAATGTGTTGATATTACACACAGTGACACTTAAAGGTCTTGAAGACCAGCTCCTGAGCGTCATCATGGGCTTTGAGAAAAGGGAACTGGAGGAACAACGTGAGCGATTGATCCAAGAGACCAGCGACAATAAGAAACTGCTGAAAAACCTGGGCGACTCCTTGCTTAGAGAGCTAGCCACATCTACGGGCAACATGTTGGATAACACAGAGCTTGTTGAGACTCTTGAGGAAACGAAGCTGAAATCCACTGAGGTTAGCTTTGGCGAGGTTTGCTACAGTTAAATCATTCAAGAATGCAGCACTATTGTTTATCTTATTGCCAGGTATTCGAGAAACTCAAGTTGGCTCAGAAGACATCGCTGGACATTGATAAACTCAGAGATGGATACAGGCCTGCAGCAAAGCGTGGCGCCATCCTGTTCTTTGTACTGACAGACATGGCTCTGGTCAACAGCATGTACCAATATTCACTCGCTTCGTACCTGAAGGTGTTTGACATGTCGCTACGGAAAGCTCGGCCTGACTCTTCCCTTCTCAAACGACTCGAGAACATCATCAGTACTCTGACATACAATGTTTATAACTACGGCTGCACAGGTAAAAGACATGATTTGGAATAATGTCACATTCTTAAGGTGTACATTTTAAGTTGTATTTTTTCTCATTCTTTAAATATTGGTAGGGCTGTTTGAGAGACACAAGTTGCTCTTTTCATTCAATATGACAATCAAGATTGAACAGGCAGATGGGAGGGCACCCCAAGAGGAGCTTGAATTTCTGATAAAAGGTGACCCATTTATAAAAACGTGACACTAATTAATATCTTTGAACACATTCAGTCCTCAAAGCACTTTTTTTTTCTTTTCCCTATCAAATGCGTAAAGGGAATCTATCTCTGGAAAAAAGCTCTAAAAAGAAGCCATGTGACTGGCTTCCTGACCAGGGCTGGGAGGATGTTGTGAAACTCTCAGAGCTCTTTCCTGACCAGTTCGACTCGCTGACTGACGACATCGAGAGTAATGCCTCTGAGTGGAAATCAGTAAGTCACCCAAGTAACATCAGCGTGATCAGAATATGTCAACTGTATTCAATTTTATTTGTTTAGCACCAATTCACAACAAATCTTGTCTCAAGGCACTTTGTAAAAAAGTCATTTCGGCTCAATCTCGGCAGATTGCATTGAGTGAAACTAATGAGTTTTATCTTCATTATGTTTTTTTTTTTCCCTCCCTCAGTGGTATGACTTGGATGCCCCAGAACAGGCCCCGTTTCCCATGAAATATAAAAAGAACCTCACAGACTTTCAGAAGCTGCTCTTGCTGCGCTGCTTCCGTGTTGACAGAGTCTTCAGAGGTGTGACCGACTACGTCACTGTGATCATGGGCGAGAAGTGAGACTCTTTCAGTTATGCTATAAATGGAAACACAGCGCAGATTCACTATCAGCAGCGTAAATATCCTGCTAGTTTGTTTCTATTCATAGTGCATTTGTACCATTAACCTCATCGTGAAATAATTTAACTGCATTCAAGTTTGATGACTTTCAAAAATATTAAGTAGAATGATTAATTTCTCTTGGAAGGGATTATATTTATATATTTATCTCACTGAGCCACAAAGCTGAAATCACCAAAGTATATTATATAGTGCACAGGTGTTAATTGTTAGATAAGAATTCGCTCTGATGGAAAAATCCATATTAAATTTCATAACTTTGACTCTGTGTTTTTGCTTAGATATGTGCAGCCCCCTGTGATCAGCTATGCCTCGGTTTACGAACACAGCACAGCTTCCTCTCCCATCGTTTTTATCTTGAGCCCCGGCTCTGACCCGGCCACTGACCTGATGAAACTGGCAGAATCTTCAGGCTTTGGAGGCAGCAAGTTCAAGTTTCTCGCTATGGGTCAAGGACAAGACAAGGTAATGGACATTATCTATGTTGTATACTTATTAATAGGACATTGTTTAAAAGAAGTTTTGGTTTTTGTTCCTATCATGTAGGTGGCGCTTGATCTGTTGGACAAGGCGGCCTCTCGTGGTCAGTGGTTGATGCTGCAGAACTGCCATCTATTAGTGAAGTGGCTGAAAGAGCTGGAGAAGGCTTTAGAGCGAATCACCAAACCCAACCCCAACTTCCGCTTGTGGATCACAACCAACCCCATTAAGGATTTCCCTATTGGCATCCTGCAAAATTCTCTGAAGGTGAAGCACATTCCCTAGCCTTCTGAAATGTACATTGTGCATTTCTATTCATCACCCATGAACCCCCTTTAGCTGCATGTTTCGTGAGGTATATATATATGTCTCTACCACATTTGTACATTGAAAGACTGGAAATTTTCCTCATTCTGTTTTACAAAATAACTCAATCTCACTCATATTGAATGGGCAACGTCTGTAATAGTTCAATAGACTATTACACTATCTTTTGGAACAATTTTTTTTAACTCATCCAACGATCATATGACTTAGACGCCAAGCGCAACATGTTTGAAAGCCAGAAAAGAACGCCACATGCTTTCAAATAAAATTTTATTATTGTTAAAGTATTTAGCAAAATAAAATCATATTCACAGACATTTTAAAACAAATCATTTCAAGAAATATATGTAAATGCCTTTGACATTGTTTGTAGGTTGTGACAGAACCTCCCAACGGTCTCAAGCTGAACATGAGAGCAACATACTCCAAAATCTCACATGACAGCTTGTCGGAATGCGAACACCCTGTGTTCAAAAGCTTGGTGTATGTGTTGGCCTTCTTCCATGCTGTGGTTCAAGAGAGGCGAAAGTACGGAAAGATTGGCTGGAATGTGTCCTATGACTTCAGCGATTCAGATTTCTTTGTAAGTGCTGCAAGACTAACTGTTTAATTGCCTGGCACATTGACATGCACTTTTAACCTTTCAGTAGCTGAATCAGTATAATTGCTTAACAGGTGTGCATGGAGATCCTGAACACTTACCTGACTAAAGCATATGACCAAGGAGACATCAACATCCCCTGGGGTAGTCTGAAATATCTTATTGGCGAGGTTAGGCAACACTGTTGTTCATGACATGTCCTTTTATTGTCTGAAAGTATTAAATGTGCAATGTCTTGTTAGGTGATGTACGGCGGGCGCGTTATCGATAGCTTTGACCGCAGGATCTTGACTGTCTACATGGATGAGTATCTTGGAGATTTCCTCTTCTATACCTTCCGGCAGTTTTACTTCTTCAAAAACAAAGATGTAGAATATAAAATCCCTCCAACTGGCACAAAGACAGTATATGTTGGTCAGCTCCTGCCTAAGCACTCTTTTGTAAGACAGAAAATATTTTATTATGTTCTTGCACTCGCAGCTTTAACCTGGCATGTGTTGGCAGATGAGATTGAGAACATGCCACTGGCAAACACACCGGAGGTGATGGGTCTTCATTCCAACGCAGAGATAGGATATTACACTCTGGCTGTTAAAGAGCTGTGGACTCACCTGATAAACCTTCAACCTCAGTCAGGTATAATTTGGTGTTTCTCTACTGGATTCTCACTGGGAAATTTTGTTGGAGTATGCTGTTCCCATGAAAACTGTTAAACTGTAAAATAACTGAGAAAGCAATGATTGTTGGTTTATCCTTCACATACTTTTTCCTCATTCCTAAGGCGAATCTAGTGGAAATGTTACCAGGGAAGAGCAAATAAGTCAGGTGGCCCAGGACATCCAGAACAAACTCCCCGAGCTGTTTGACATGGACGTGATTCGTAAGAAGTTTGGCACAAACATTTCCCCAACGACTGTGGTTCTGCTTCAGGAAATAGAGCGCTTCAACAAGCTGGTGGTTCGCATGCAGCTGTCTTTGGCTGAGTTGCAAAGGGTGAGGATGGAGCCATGCATTTTTTGTGTCTTCCCTTTAGTCCACCTCTAGATCATTTCGGATGCCTTGTTTCCCCCAGGCGTTGGCTGGTGAGGTGGGAATGAGCAGTGAGTTGGATGAAGTGGCTCGGGCCCTTTTCAATGGCCACATTCCTGGCATCTGGAAGAAACTGGCACCTGAGACTCTAAAGTCCCTCGGGAACTGGATGATCCACTTCAAGAGACGCTACGAACTGTATTACCATTGGGTAAAAAAAAAAAATGCTCAAATAACCTGATATGTAATTTTTTTAACATATGCATTAATAGTTAAAACCAAACCCTTGATATTTTGGGTTTTTCCACATTTGTTTGGTGCCTTGCAATGAAACATTATTCTTATTGTTCAATAGGAATTTATCAGAAAAACCAAAAAATGCGGTACATAAATGTTAGGTGGAAAGAAAGGTGTTTGCATTTTTTGACAAGTAAAAACCTATAAAAATTAAACTGTGCAATTTAGCTGCATTTACTCAACTTTTTATTAAGCTACTTTTGGCGATTAAAGTAGCAGATTCTTTGAGTTTTTTTTTTCTACCTGCTTTGCACATCTCAACGTAAAGTAATCTGTCCATTTTCCTTTACAAAACGGTTCAACCTCACATAGATAGGGTGGTCTTCATATCTTTGAATGGGTTTGCTTAGCACATAAATGTATACTTTAATCGAAACTGCTGGAGGTTCAACCTCTGTCCTAGTCTCAAGTTATTTTTTGTTGCCTCTAAGAGGTTTACTTCCAGTATTGTCCTGTATTTTACCTCTATTCCTCCTCCCATCATCTCTGATCAGGTTTGCTGTTCTGGTGAGGGAAAGAATTTCCACAGCATGATGCTCCCACCACTGTGTTTCATAATGTTTCACTGTTTAGGGTTACGTGCAGTACTTGCTGTGGTTCGAGTACATTTGTTTGGCTGTAAGGGTCGTGTGGGGCCTCGCAAAGGCTTTTATTTTTATATTATGTCTTAAAATGTTTGTGTCTGATGTGTGAATCTTGTGCCTGGCAGGTACATGATGGAGAACCAAAAATTATGTGGCTATCAGGACTTCACATCCCAGAGTCTTATCTGACTGCTCTGGTTCAAGCTGCCTGCAGGAAAAACGGCTGGCCGCTGGATCTGTCTACGTTGTACACAGAAGTGACCGAGTTCCGCAGTGAGGAGGACATCCTGGACAGGCCCAGAAAAGGTAATGTGCCAAGACATTCATCTTTTGCAGCTTTTTCTAGTGAGTAATTTTAAAGACTAACTGTATCAGTGGTCTCAGGCTGCTTTGTGTCTGGACTGTATCTGGAGGGAGCCGACTGGGACATAGAGAATAACTGCTTAATAAAGAGCAAACCAAAAGACTTGGTTGTTGAACTGCCCATTCTCAGAATCATCCCCATTGAGACATGTCACCTTCGATTGCAGGTGTGGATAAAGCTCTCTACACACTTATGCACTTGGTATGGTTTGGATATTTTTTTTCTTAGTGTCTGTCATTTCCTTGTGTTTTGGATCCCAGAATACACTGAGGACCCCAGTGTACACAACGTCCATGCGAAGGAATGCGATGGGTGTGGGCTTAGTGTTTGAGGCAGACCTGTCTACAACGCTACACCACTCCCATTGGGTTCTGCAGGGAGTGTGTTTGTGTCTCAACACTGACTGAAGATCTCCCTCAGACTTAAAGAGATGAAAACCTTAGTATCTGTGCATGTTTATTAAATTATCAAGTTTAGGTTAGCTTATTGTATTATATTTGATTTCTGTTTTTTATGAATTGTTGAGAAGTTACATTTTTGCAAGTTATTTTTACACGTTTTTGCTGACATACACCTTATTTACTTTTTAAATGTGTTCCTCTTTTTCCCGCTAGATGGCAGCACAGAACACTGTTTGCTCTCTGCCTGTTTCTTAAGTCCTTCCGTTTAATGTTACCTGAGCAATACTGTCACCAGACAGTCTTTTATCCCACAAATGCAAATTAGTTTTCAAATAAAGAAATGTTAGTGAACAGTCCAGGTGCGTCTTGTAATTTTATTGTTGTGTATGTTTTAATGAAGCGCTTTGACTGTACAGAGTTGTTGTTTCAACAGCAGAACCTCAGCTATGATGCTAAGAGGGAAGGTTTCCTTCTTACTCAAGTATCTATAGCAGGCTTTTTGTTTTGCTTTTTTGCAAAATGGGCAGGGCCGTGTGTGTTATTTTACTGTCATGTACAGATCTGGGACAGCTCCACTCAATTGAGGCTGCTGAGCTCAGCAGCAAAGCAGGTAAAGTTACCTCTGAAAAATCAAGACAGCCCCAGAGGATTTAGCTGTTAGTTCAGCAGTGAGGTCACATATGCACACACAAAGGGAAAACTGCAGTACTTTTGAACCATTACTTGTGCAACACAGGGTTTTAGCTTTTGTTGTGACAATGCCACTTTTGTCAGGAATGTTCTACATAGACTAAATTCTGATTGGTTGATGCAAATGAAAGAAACTCTGACAACCATTACCATAAAAATATTACGTTTTCTTTGGTCTGCATCCTCAAAAGCCCCGACCCGCACATGAGATCACAAGAATGCATCTCATTACCATTATTATGTAGTCTAATACGGTCCCGTCTGAATTGCGGAGGTTAAAGGTTAGACAGGCCCCTCCTCGGGTTCTTAACTAGTATGACACTCATAAAGAGTGAAGATTAGCACATGTTTATGACCAAACACAGGAGGGGAAGGATTGTGTTCCCTTGTAGTTTAGGAAGCTTTATCTGACTGAGAAGATTTCGAGTAAATTCAGCTCAATGAAGACAATAGGCAATGCAGCTCTTTCAGTTTAGAAAACAAAAGGGTGTAAAAATGAAGGATGTAGAACTTCTCCTAAAGTGACGGAGGAGAAAGACAAATAGCAATCTGGGAATCTGTGATACCTGTTTGGAATCACTTCCTGGTGTCCTTAAAATGAAGAAGGTGCCACTAAAAATGGGAGAGAGGATGCCAAAACGGCCTCTAACTAATGATCAACCCTGCATTTCCACTAGTTATGATGAGTCCACTGGTGTCGAGGGTGGTAGTATTACTGGTGAGAAATGAAAACATGTTAATCAACTTCAGCGAGTATTAAGCAGCAGGGGCATATTGCAGTCAGGCTGTCTCTTCTGCAGCTGATGCAGCTTAGAGGAACCACAGGCAGATAAATACCAAAAGTCCCAGTTTTGGGTTACATCTCAGGTGTTTGGTTTGGAGTGGACCACTGTCTGACGGGTAATGGCTGCTTTAACAGAAAACCAACCCCAATTGTCTCAAAGAGATGCACACTTCCTTTCAAAACTATGTACAGTCCCTGAGCTTTTTTAGATGTCGTTTTTCACCTGAGCAGGTTTCATAGGAATGTTTTTTTAGGCAACACAAAGTTGCACATATTTGTGAAGTGAACTGAAAATGCACATTTATTATTAATATTATTATTTTTATTTATTTATTTTTACAAATAAACTTTCAAAGCTTGTTGGATTTCCGTTTTTTATCCAGTTCCCTTCTCTGTCATATTGCTAAATAAATTAAAAATACAACTTATTATGATTAAAGGCGACAGTATACACGCTGTAGTGTGTGGTTGTGTGTGCATGTGCGTGTGTGTGTGTGGTGCCAAAGAGTTGATGATTTTGGAGCCACCCGGAGAGGCAGCAGTACCCACAATTCATCCTGTGCGTTAAAGTGGCGTCGCCGTGAGCGCGCATTGTCCTCCGTGCGGGGCAGGGTGAGAAAAACCCAGCAGGCTGAGCGTTTAAAACCCCACAGGAGACTATAAAGCTGCTCCATGCCCGCTGCAGGATCGGACCTCAGACAGGCGGAGGAGAAGGGAGGACAACAGTGTTCAAGGTTCCGCCGCGGACATCCGAGCTCCGCTCCAGACGCAAGCGCCGCCAGAGTTCGACCCGGCCGTCTTGTCTCGGGGGAGACTTAAATCCGACCGCTTTCCGGATGAACTAGTGCCGGACAGTTTTCCGCTCATTTCCACTCAGTGATTATGCTGCCCGTCTTCCGCTGCCGCCCTGCGTCAGTTTGACCCATCTGAGCTGGACCCGCCGGCCGGACTGATCCCGAACCGGACCAAGAGTTGGACTCGTCCTCGAAAACTGTCCCGGTCCCCCCCCCACACACACACGCACACACACACACACAAAAATGGGATCCCACCATCTGGACGCGCTGTTCAGGAAAAGTTTGCTGTGGACGGCGCTCATCCTCTGGATATCCTTGTTTGCTGACGGGACCTGGAAGACTGGACTTTACAAAGGATACCCGGCCGGGTCGCAGAAAGCAGCTACTCACTCCTCAGTCTACCAGAAAAAGTAAGAAGCGCACCCTCTCATAGTCACTTATTTATACTACACCGGTATTTAGCATTTTTAAAATGACTTGTTTACACGCATGAAATGATTGGCATCCATTGTGCGTGATTCCTTCGCTGCGTGACTTGGTCGGTTTACTCTCAGAACCATCCGTCTACCGGATCATTGTGCTCCTGACAGTCGGTTTCCTGATTCCTCATCTTCATCTTCACCTCACTCTGGAGATGCGGCGCCATCATCTGCTTTCTTTTGCTGTTAGACTTTATTCTAAGGTTCAGCTTTGTCTACAAAACAGAGGCTTTTGTAAGGTCAAGTTCTCCAGAATGAGGGTAATTGATTTTTAATAAGGAAATGATATTATAAAATGATTGATCGCCTTATAGGGGCTTCACTGCCAGAGGTTTTTCTGAGCAACACCTCTGTACTCAAAAGGTTGGTTAGTTCTGTGTAAGAGTTCAGTGGGAAGATGAGAGAAAATGTATTTAAAATGTTAAATTTTTTTGTCACATTGCAACCACAAACCTAAATACGTTGTATTGGATTTTTGATGGGACAGAACAACATGAAGGACCACATACCTATAATTTCAAATTCAAAAATACTTTATTGCTGTCAAAGGGAAATTAACCCGTAATATCTCAAATTTCTTCAGTTATTGTAGACAGTGGTGACGGCTGGCAGGAGAGATCTCATCAGCAGATGACAGCAGAAAAGATGATGCTCTCAACAGACTTATAGACAGTCTGCAGCATCTTTCTGCAAACCTTGAAGAATCTTAGCTTCCTCCAGTCTGCTGTCTCCTCTTACAGACGGCTTCTCCGTTGCGTCTCCAGTCCAGTCTTTTGTCCAGGTGAACGCCGAGGTATTTATATTCCTCACCCACTTTCACTTCTTCTCCCCTGATGGAAATACGGTTTGGTCTAAACCTTTTTCTTCTGAAATCTACAATAAACTCCTTTAGTTTGATTTGTCAACAGATTCTCCCACCTGAGCTGTAGATTTATGCAGCTCCTCCTGAGTTACTAATGGTCTCTTGGCTGCTTCTCTCTGCACGTTTAGGTCGACGGATTAGTCGGTTTGCAGATGTGCCGTTCCCAGGTGATCCGGGTCGAACGGTGCTGTGTGGGATATTGCTTTCTAACGCATCAACACAACTTCCATTCTTTGGTCTCCATGAAGCTTCGTCCACCACCTCGCCCCTTATACTCCCCTTGCCACTCGCATCCAGATGTTTGTTGACGTGTTTACCAAACACAAGCCGCTGGGACACCGCAGCATCTGGGCTTGTTTTGGGAAGATGTCAGCGCTTGTGTGCAGGAAAAAAGCTGCTGCTGTTCTAAATCAGCCGCTGTCCTTAGAAAGGTCAGAGAGTCGGAAGCGAAATGAGAGGAGCAGGATGTCTCGGTTTGGTCTGGTGTTGCACCAGTTAATGGTGTCAAGCAGCCCATCCGGAGGCAATACAAGACAGCCTTTGATTTTGTCTTTTCAAATAACCTTAAATACATCTACTGCTCCACTGACAGCTGGCTACATTCCTGGCAGGCTACTTATTGGATGAAACCACATGTGTCAAACTCGGGGCCCGGGGGCCAAATCTGGACCACCATAATGTTTTATGTGGCCCAGATAACCACTGCGTGCCGAAATACTGCTCTATCAATCAAATCAAATCTGCTTTTATTTGTGTAGAGCCAAATTAAGTCAGTGTGAAAATATGTTCAATATTGTTTTACTTTCTGAATGCAGAAATATCCATTTATTGAAATACTAACAGTTTGTTTATGGGTGGGTTTATCAATACATTCTGCATCAACTAAAATGTATTTTATCTGGATTTCTATTGGATAGACCAACACAAGATAAAACATAATTGTGAAGTTGAAAGAAAACAATGCATGGCTTTCGAAACATTTTCTTCAACTAGAACTCTAAAAAGTGAACTCTTTGGCCATGATCATGATGTAGACTTCCTTCCTAGGAGAGTTGGACTTATAAGATGAGAAGCTTCAACATCGAGTGTTATATTGGAGTGGAGCTGCTGCTCTACATTGAAATAAGTTGGTGGAGCTGGTTCATTCATCAGATCAGGATCTGGAAACATCACACTGATGGGTTTTCCTGAGGGATCTATTGCCATAATTTAATCTCTGAAAACCATATCCGAGTCAAAAACCCTCTAAAGAACAGATCTCCATGATTTGTGTCAGTTGAGTCTTTTTTACACTCATTCTTAAAACACTAGAAAACACACAAAACCTTAACAGACAAAGGGAAAGCTCAGGTGTCCAAATTAGAAAACTCAAAACAGACAAAGACAAATGACTCGTCTTTGTCTTTGCTGGAAGAGTCACTTAGCTCTGACTTTGGGGACCCCTGTGTGCTGTTTTGATGATGCTGCACACTGACCACAGTATTCTGAGCTAACTTATTATTTGTTAACTCCTCCAAAAAAAAAAAAAGACTGAATATAACTAATGTCAGGTCTACTTTTTCAGAGTGCCAGGAATGCAGAGCTCATTAATTCCACCTTGACTCGTACTCTTTATTTGTCTTTTTGTCATTGTATGTTGAACCACATTTATCTTAAGCCTCCCCCTGTCTCCCATGGGACCAGCGCTGCTTTGTAATTGTCTTTTTTCATTTCTTTGCTCCCGTCAGAGTTTGAGACCTTTAGGACAAAATGACCTCTCCTTTCCTTTAGCCATTTGCAGCATCAGTCTTTTCTCCTCTTTTCTCCCCTGAGTGTTTTCTACTGACAGAAATATAGAAAAATTCTCTCCTCACTGCATCAGCGTTAGGCACTCTTCTGTCTCCTCCTGCTGTTGAGAATAGATGTCTAGATGGAAATGTTTTTCCACCAGAGAATCATCTGCGTTTTGATTTCGGTTCACATCGCAGTTGTTCCTCCCATGTTTTTTCCCCTCTTGCACAGTAAGGAGTAAGTGTAAGCATGAAGCACGCCTGGCTGAGATGAGGGCACGCTCTTTAGCGCCGATGTACCTCATAAGCTTTTTCTTTGTTTTCCATCCTGTCTGCATTTGCATACATTAGAAATAAGAGTTCATTTCCCTTTTGTTTTGTCTTCTCCATCACTTGGCGTCTGTAGCGCTGAGGAACAGATGGGACAAAGCTGTGATTTCTTTCTTAACTCTTGGCTGTGGCTATGTGCGACGGAGACGGCGGATGATTTATTTAGCCAGGGCCTACAGCATTCAGAGTGTGCCATGTGTGCTTTGAGACCTGATACTCACTGAGGGCCCACTTGGTGTTTTGCCAATGAAACAGCATGGTGCTGGTGGGTTTCACACTTCATAACACACGGGTGCCTCCACTAAGGGGAAGGTGTTGACTATGAACCATTTAAGAGTGAAGGATTTAGTGCAGTGAGCACCTGTGCTCCTTGTTGCAGGAGTTTTCAGCATCTTGTCAGGAGAAGATGAGTTTGCGATATGTCTTTATGCAGTTGCAGTGGCCACAGATACAGATATGGTTTTTATTAATTCAACTTTTCTCAGCTATAAGAGCTGAGATAATAGCCATTGTCTTCTTCACACATGTGAGGACAGCCTGCGGTTTGCTTATTGCTGTGGAGCTGGAGGTGGAATCGAAGACTCTATCAGATAACCTGCTGTACCAAACCCGCTATCATCCGGACACAGCGGGCAGCTCTGTGAGGACTGTTTTTTGGTTTATCCAGTGAATTTAAGGGTGCCGCAGTGGTGCAGGGGTAAAGCACATGTCACAGGTTCGAGTCCAGACCTGGTTACCTTTGCCACATATCTTCCCTCTCTGTTGTTACCTGTGTTCCTCTCTGACCACTCTCAAATAAAAGCCACTAGAGCCAATTAAACCTTAAAAAAGTGAATTTGAGCACAATTTAGCCCGATTTGCTTTGTCTGAAACTCTAGAAGACTCAGACGGAGGCCTGGGTAATCACCTGGATCTATCACTACCTCAAACTGGCCACAGTTTGTGAGATCGAAGGACTGTGTGTCTAATTAGATGGTCAGTAACACAGGAGCACCACACAGGAGTCTACTCTCATCATTCCTTTTCATGCTGTACACTTCAGATTTTCAGCACAAGTCAGACTCCAGTCATCTACAGAAACACTCGGATGACTGCAATAGTCTGATGGTTATGAAAAACAATCATCTTATAGCAAACATAAGAGCAGCCCTCCCACTCAGCTCCTCCAGAGTAGCGTCAGTCTCAAATACTAAGCAATTAACTTTCCTGAGATTAATGCATAAATTACTCCTCACTGTAATGCTCCTAAGAACATTGTAAACAATTTAATGGACAGACGTTGTTGTGATAATGCGCTAAATTCAAGAGCAGGAGCTCCTTAAAGAGACAGAGACCCAATTTCAAGGTGTTAAATTGAGGAGTCCAATTTCTTCTAAAAATAAATTCTATAATATTTTTATCATGACTGAAGGTAACATAGTTACTTGATTGTGCTAAACTATCACTGTGTAAGTAATCCCTCGCCTTTGTATGTGATCAACGTTTAGTTAAATTTACAACAAACGAAACATTTCAGAGAGTACTTTTGTTTGGCATAGAGGGACCTAACTGTGGATTATTTATTGATAAAAAAATCCATAATGTGTAGTTAGTTTTTTTGTGTAAAATTGTACAACTGAAATAAAATATTAATTAATCTTAGATTTTTTTCACACATCTTCACTCAACATGTGTTGACTCAACAAGCTGATATCTTAAGACCGCTTTAATGTTTATATAAGTCAAGCAACTATTCAGAACTATGTCCCGAACCCCAGTCTTGTTTCATTTATTGGAGTAAACTCTGTGGGAATTTCCTTTTTACCTACAGCGCACATGCAAAGAGAAGGAAAACAGGGAGACCATAAACCCTTCCCCCAATTTCCTCCACGTAACCTCGGGACCCGCCTGCGTCGTTCCCAGGTGAAACCTCCTGTCAGCCTGGGAAACTCAGACATTTATCTGTTGGGTCGGGAAGAGTCACTGTTCGGACCTCATCTAATAGTGAATATAATTTCCTCTACTTGGGAAATATTTTTAAAGGCATAGATTTTCTACCAGTAATTTGAGAAGTAATTGTATTGTAATGTTAATTTAAGGAGTCTTAAAAGGATGGAAAGATCAAGATTAATTAAACCTAGATGTGTATTTGAGTAATGTGGGATAAGAATTCAGTTTTAGATTTAAATCGTTCTTTTCTTAATAAAAATTGTGTTTATTTAGATTCATTTGGAAAAGTAATTCTCCTTCAAAAGTTTTATAAATGCTGTGTGAGTGGGAAGAAGTGAAAGTGACTTCAGACTTCATAGAAAAATGTGTATCTTCATGTCAAAAGTCAAACCCATTGAGCAGAACCAGAACATCAGTCAGCTCACGTGCGTGCGTGTGTGTGTGTGTGTGTGTGTGCGTGTGTGTGTGTGTGTGTGGGTGTGTGTGTGTGTGTGTGTGTGTGTGGGGGTGGCCAGAAGAGCATGTGGGGGTTGTTAAAGGGAGCAGCTTCACATCCTTTGCCTTCAGCGGTATTCGTTAATGTAAACTGTCTCTGATGCATACAAACATATGGCCGAACATATTGACAAACAGAACAGCCCATTCGTCCTGGATGCTCTCTGGCAGCAGAACACATGAAGCTCGGTCTTTGCGCTGCAGGCTGCGAGGTCTGCTTTGTGGTTTCTACAGCTTCCGTCTATACGTCCATTGATTGTGTAAAATCTGATCATGCTAATTGTTCCCTGATTTCTCTAACAGCTTGTCATTCAGCAGCTTTCCCAAGTTTTTTTTTTCTCATACATGAATGCCATGTGATTATAGGAGATGGGTTCAAATGTTGGCTTTAAAGCTAAATGTTTCTCGGCGTCATCTCCTGCGTGATATCAGGAAGAGACATTTTTCTCCTCTTAAAAAGGGCTTTCAGACAGGATTTAACTAAACTTACGAGTCTTCAGTGTTTTTATATCTTTTACACAACCAGATGTCTTTATGTTTTGGGTACCTGCACTGTAATCACATGGTCTCTAAATCATCTGCATGCTTTAGTTTCTCAGTAGCAACAGTGAGTCCCTGAAATGTCTTAGAAGCCATCTATGGGAAGGCGGTGAACTCGTGACCCGGCTGTAACCCGTGTTAAAAATCCACTCCAGAGAAACTCCACCTCCTCCGAGACCCCAGCGCAAACGGATGTGCATTGATAGAAGACCAAAGTCAGTGTAAATACAGCCCTCAATGCACTAATTGGAAAAATTAAAACCATGTAAACACCACGAGGAAGTCTCAAAACAAAAGGGCGGGGGAGGGAGGAACAAAGAAAACCAACTGGGACTGCATGGCTAATTAGCTTTTGTGACAGCGTGTGATTGAACGCGTTCGTCAGCCATGTTGAAGAATGTGATTTTGGTTTTTATCTACAAGTTACGAATGCTCATTGTGCCCTCATGTACAATTTCTGTTTGACTTGCCTGTTTGTTTCTGCAGGAACTGGTGTCCTCATACAGTAACCAAGACAGTGACCTGCCAGGTGCAGAACGGGACGATCCTCCAGCGGGTCTACCACACCTGCCGCTGGCCGCAGGGATGCTCTGGAGGCAGGTGAGAGGTCAAGGGGACCTTATGGACCCCTCTCCGCAACACCATCATAAACCCTTGATCTTCTTCTCTTTGAAAGGAGACACAATTCAGTAATCATTTAGTTCATGCATTTTTACAGCTACTACAGATGCAGCATGTTTCATAGGGGTTGAAAGCTCAAAAAGGACAAAACAGAGCAACTTTGCAGCACTTTGTCCAGGCTTCCTGTTACCTGCTTTACAGGGTTAGTTTGGATTTTTGAAATTAGGTTTTATGACATCTTTCCTGCAGTGGAAAGATGTCATTTCACCATGAGCTTGAGGGAAAATTAAGGAACTAGCTCGTCAGATGTTGGCATAAATCCGTCTAATTTGAGAGATCGACTGATAATTGATCGACTGATCGACTGTCAGTCAAGATGATTTTCAAACAACTACGAGACCTAGCAAGTGTATGAGCAAACTTTCTAAACATATTTATTTATTATGTATAAAAATGAAAAGGCAGATTCAAGCACAGTAACTTTCCATAGAAACACAGATGTTGTCCTGCTTAACAATAGTTTGTTGTAAAATTGTAGGCTATCTATATCTGCTAACTTTCTATCACACTGATTTGAACCTCCTCATTTTGAGTTAATTGGCTAAAGTGTTTTCTGTCTGGCTACGTTTTAGCCAATCAGATGCTCAATGGAGCATCTTCCTGACAGATAATGGAGTTATAATCTTACCGTTATTTTTTGGTGAGTCGCACCAACTTTCCACCTCATTCAATGTGTTTTAAAGAACATCCTTTCACCTTCAGGCACATTAAAACCAACCTAATCCTTTACACTTTAATTCTGTAACGTTTTGGTTTTCAGTTCGAATCCTTTTGGCTCAAATGTGCTCTTAAGAAGTCTTTGTTTGAAGGGCCAGATTGTGCCACCCCTCCACCCACACAATACAAAAAGAAGTGGGGAACCCGAACCCTCCCTCCATGTGAATGTGAAAGGCATAGGGGAAGAAATGATAGAATTACAATTCAACCCTATTGCTATTTGTTTTGTACACAGATTTTTATAAAAGAACAGGTAACAGTAGGTTGATATAAATTTAAAAACCTGATTCGTTCAGTGCTGAGAGTAACCAGACACTTTGTAAAACATTTCAGGGACATTCGACTGGAGTCCACGAATCAGAGTCGGAGCTGTTCTCTGAGAAAGACTATACACTCTTTTAATGATTGTGTGTGAAATGATGAGTTACCTTCTAAAGATTTGAGTTTTGTGTATATCTGCATTTGTAATGGGGACATTCATAACACTAACTGTGCAGCAGTCCTACTCCTCAGCACACATTTTTTATAGAGATGCACTAATCTCAATTGTACCCCCAGTTTTTGATTTTAAACAGATTAGGCCTGCTGACACCCGACTATGACGCTTTCCTTTTAAAATGCTCCCAACATTGCTCTAAAGGATACTTTAAATCTTCTTTACTTTGTAACAGCGTCCACTTCAAACAGTGCTGTTGTCATCATAACTTGGAATTGAGGTGCAGTTTGTTCATTGATAGGAAGAAGACCTCATTTTTACTTTTCTAACTGGCCAATCAAGCTGAAAATCAGCAAACTCTTGTCAATATTTGTTTGTTGGTGCATCTATATGAGTAAAAGGTTGAGTCATTTATGATCAACCCATGGTTTGTTCTTCTCACGACAGACTTTGAACAAAATATGTAAATATAATTTTGACAGGTGGCTCAGGTGCACAGAAAACTAGGAAAAGAGAGTAAACAGTTGATTCTAATCACACTTATCTGTTGTGTGTTTTTCAGCTATAAGACAGTAGTGAGACCATCTTACAAAGTGGTGTACCGCACTGTGACCTCACTCGAGTGGAAATGCTGTCCAGGATTCAGCGGCACCGCTTGTGGAGAAGGTAGGAGATGACTAATGGAGGACTTTTTTTGGAAGATGGACATGATTAAAAAAGGACAGGAGTGAACACTGGGACCTTTTTCCTTTGCCGTTTTCGTTTTCCCATCTCTTTCTCATCTGGCTGACTCATCCGTCCCTATTCCTCTTTTTTCATTAAAGCCCCATAGAAAGCGTACAGTATGTGCCCTCCGCTGTGCTTGTGCAAGTAATACTTTCAAACAGGAGTGATTTCCATTAAGCTTATATAAGGCAGCCTCTGTCCCTTAAATGAAGTTACGAAATAAGAGGCTGTGGTCTCCTCGGGGTGAGTCAAATACCTCGGCTCTGTTAATCAGCTGTAATGTCTTTATTCCAGCAGTAAATTTAGCCCGTCAAGGCTTATTCTATTCTGTGGTTTTCATTTTTATGATCCAGCTGGAACCAACTCTTCATCTTCTTCATGGCAAGTGCCATGCTCCCAGAACTGTTTTCATTTCTCAGCTCACACACACACACACACACACACACACACACACACACACACTGGTAGAGCATAATGACTTTCCCTGGCAGTGGTCTGCAGGTCTCGGCCGTCTGCGGAGGAGGGTGGGGCGTCTGTTTATGTCGTGACCCGGAGCTTGAATGGGTGTAACATAAATTGTCAGACCGTGCATGACAAAGGACAATAAATGTTTACAGTGGTTAAAGTGGTCACTTTTTTGTGGTGATGAAAACAGAGGCTGTATACTTCTTTTACGCTCGCTCTCCCAGGTGAACCCTCCCTCTGGTCTGCGGTCTGCTGCAGCACAGCTTCAGCCTAAGAAAAATATCTCCACTTTCCCCGCTTGCTTAAACTTGCACACGCCGAAACCACCCAAATGCACCGCCTGATTTAAACCCTCCCCGCTCTCGAAAGGCGGAAAACACATTCTCAGTCAGACAGCGCAGACTTTACTTAACAAAGGAAGAAAACACACAGAGTGAAACTGGGAGGAAATTATCCAATTAAGTTGTTGCTAGAGGAGATTTTTCCCCCCCTCCGGTTGTCATGGCAGTGGGGTCTACTCAGCCAGCGGGGATGCTGGGATTAGCCACTTATCAGAGCGTCGTTCCGGGTGGCTCAGATCACAGACGCTGCTGAGTAGCAGTGACAGCTCCCATTCACGGGGCTTTTACTCCTCTGCACTGTGGATGCCATCCAGTGCCACCGGCACTTTGTTCTGCTCCTGACTCGTGAGCAGAACCCCGTGCCAGCGGAGGACCTGATACCCCACTGCTGTCTGTCTGGTTCTGCTACTCAAGGAGAAACAAAGGCTCGCCACCACGGGGCCAACCTGGAGGCCAGACCCTGCTTAAAGTCTGAAACCACAGTCTTGTCAAGTGAAAGTAAGTTTGAAATCACATCTTCAGAAAACCAATGTGGATGACATTGAGGACCTCTGAAGACTTGGAGTGCATCTGATTTTAAAAAGTCATAAGAATCTAACCTGCCTCAATGTTGAAAGGGACTAATTCATCTTATGAATTAATTAATTCTATGTTGTGTATTTTTAAGATTTCTCTTTTTCTGACCTTTTTTTTATCCCTTTTCACTATTTTTCACAGTACCTACCTAGATATACCTTTTTTATTCATTAAATACTGTCTGGTGTAAAACTAATGTAACATTTAAGAAAAGAAACATTGCACGTTGGAGTGGGGCTTCGCTGCTGCTTTATGACATTCTGCGTTCTTGTGAATGTCCAATATTTGGTTTGTGACCATAAACTTATCTACACTTACATTATGTAACAAGACAATGATTCAGAGCACACCAGCAAGTTTATTTTTTTCTGAAAGGTCAAAAGTGAAAGTAGGGACCTATTAAAAGTCTGAAATTAAAACCACTTGAGATTCTGCGGCTTGAACTTTTAATGGAAAGTTTATGATCGTATACTCTCCCACTGTTTCCAAATTAGAACAGTTTTGCAAATAAATGGGACCCAAAATTCATCCACAGCTGTGTAAAAACTCCCTGCCAGTTGTCACAAACACCAGCTATCCAAATACAATTTAATGAACTGAAGCAACTCATCAAAGTAATCTAGGAAATAAACAGCAAACTGGAAACAGACAAAGTGACGAAAGAAAAGCAAAAACAGAAGAAATCTGTAAAGGACCAGATGCTTCAAGCCACTGTGCATGTCGGGTAGCCGGTGCATTTGAGTCCCTTAGTGAACTTTAATAATCCTTCATCCATCGTCTATCCCTGCAAATCCTTGCAGGGCCTCATGGGGCCCGGTTCATCTCCAGCAGTCATTGGGTGAGAGGTGGGTCACACCCTGGACATGTCTTCAGTCAATCCCAGACTTTATAAACAATGTGACATGTTACGTTGTGTCTCTGCCTTAGTAACTTTTGTGATTTCGGGCTGAGCTTCACTCTGGGAGAGGCTTAATGGTGGGAAGTTTCAATATATCCAGCATCAGTTCAGGCTGCATGAGAACTAGATGCCTCCGTTTCAGATCGGAGTGGACGAATACTTTTTCACAGCCCTTAAGATGTGAGAGGAAACTCTGAGCCCCTCCGTGCCGGTCATCATGTGTAACGCCAGAGGTCCAGTCTGTTAAATATGACGTGCCTCTGTTTCGGTTTTGGGTTGCAGGACTGTGCAGAAATAGATTGTACAGCTTCAAGACAAGAGTTTGCTTTGACTGTGGCAGCAATTTTCTTTTAGCCCAGAACGAGGGCTCCAAAGATTACATCACATAATTACTGATAGACAAAAGTAACAGCGTAAAATAACAGTCCAAGAGGCAGGCATCTTTCACATTAGCTTTCTTTCTCTTTTCTCTCTCACCCCAAACTCTGAACTTGGCTGGAATTCCAGGTCACTGGTGTAATTACTGAGTCTTAATTGTTTTCTATGAGGTTTGGGAAATATTGTCTTACTTCTGGACCTGGAACACAATGCTCTTTATCTCTGATTGAGCCACAAGGGGGAAAAAAATGGGGCTAAGTATTTGCAGATGGAAGCACTTTCATTGCATGCCAGAAACAGGGATTTAATGTATGCCTGTTTGGCTTTGGCATACCAAGAAAGTAAATGCTAGTTTTCAGTGGAGCTATCTCAGCTTATGCCACATTTAACACAAATATCAAAATTGCACCTCATTTAGAGGTAATTTTGTGATGAGAATATCAAATTTAGCCCTTATAAGCAGCATTATTGTATTAGAGCTGACTTGAAATGCCTCAGGAAAGGGATGAAGGGTGATTGCACTTTCAGCAGTCGTGTCTGTGAATTTATTAGGTCAACATTTTGGACTTTTTTCTCCCATCTGCTGATTTTGATGGATTTTGAAAAGTGTGAAGATGACACTTTACACAAGCAGCACTTAAAATGTTGGTTCGGATTGTGATTTATCGACCTAAAGCACCCGAAAGAAATATGGTGGCAGCTTATCGCAGGAGGAGGCCGTCTTTCAGGAAACGTTTGGGGGAATGTAGAGTTAAATTAGCACGGCTGTCAAATCTTTACAGGTTTGAGAGGAGGAACTGGTGTGTGGGGGTCGGGGGGGGGGTAGCCCATCTACTCATATCTCGCCGCTGAGCGGAGGTTGCGGTTTTTGGGTCACAATTATGGCATGACCGGGAGGCAGAAGCACGCTGTCAGTAATAAGCCTCAGAAATGTAATCTGTGTTTTCACAGCTCAGAGCAGCTTATCTCAGGCCTGTACGCTAAAACCCCGCGCTTCAAACATCAGTCAGCTGCAGCTTGCTGTTTGCAAAGGAAGAGTGGTGGTGCGTGGAGGCCGGCGTACAGTATGTGTTTGCCAGAGTCAGCGTGTGGGTGGGAGAGCGAGGCGTCGAGGATTTATATACAGTGAGGGATGCAGCTGTTCTGTGTGATTAGCTGCTTTAGTGGATGCAGGTTTTAGTGGCTGTGAGTGGAGGAACTACACCCTGAGGTCTGAGGAGATGACCTCAACTCTAGCCGCTGCTAGACCACACGGATCTGCACTGATAACGCAGAACCTCAGCACCTCTACGTCCAGCTCGCCTCTGCTATTTCCAGTCACATTCCCAGATGTCCTGTGCGTTTGGATTAGCAGGTGTTCCATAGTCGAGGTTTTTCTTTCATGTTCCGGTTGATTCTGATGTGAGGTGTTGTTGCACGCTCAGGCTTTTGCTCACATGTTTGAGAAGAAGAAACTATTCAGCACGCAGCTCACATGCAGAGTTATTTAAATGGACAACTAGTGCAAACTGGAAACAGTCAAAGTTGAGACAAACCAGGCCGAGAGATGAGGTGTCCAGCACAGTCACCCTGTGCTGGCAAGCCCAGAGGAACATTACCTCCTTCAAGCAACACACATAAGTGTCAGCCAGACATATAAAAATATATACATAACATTTTTCCTTCTTCTCTTCTTTCTTTTCTGTTTTATTTTGCCATTAGAAAGTAGTGACTGTAAAAGATTCAGATATGTTAAGATGGGAACTGTATCCTGTAGATATGTTGAGTTCTCTGGGACCAACACTGGAAAAATACCACAAAGCATAAATCAAATATTAAGATTTTATGTGACAGAACAACACAAAGGTGTGGCTTTTTGTAAACCAAAAATGAAAAATTATAAATTTTCTTCCCTACTTATCTGAAAAGTGAGGGTGCATTTGCCATATGCAGCATTATGTTCAGGGGTACATAACACAAAATGCTTTTCATGAGCACTTCAAATAAACAAAACACATTGAACTTTGTGGTAATTTGACAAAAATGTGTTGAGGTTTAAGGCTTGTGAATACTTTTACTTCCTACTTATGCGGGAAAGATATTTGAATTGACATAATGTTACTGTAAAAATTGCTTTATTTTACTCCAACAACACATAAAGTTGCTTTTTTCAGGAATATTGATGCAGCCTAACTACAATTTTCTCTCTTTATTTTGTTCATTCAAGGAGACGAGAACAAAATGTTGAGTTATTCTCTGACGCAACCAGATCAGCTCCGAGGCAAATTATAAAAACATATTTT